TACTTTTGTTTATAGTGTTTAATGTACCAAGTTTCTTTTTTTTTTAAACTTGGCCTTGTTTTGAGACAGAATCTCACTATTTAGCCCAGATTGACTTTCAACTCACAATGTAGCCCAGGTTGGCTTTGAACATAAGATCCTCCTTCCTCAGTTCCTGAGTACTGGGATTGCAGGTGTGTACAATCACACCAGGCAATTTCTTGGTTTAGATAAACCTTCTATGGTCATGTAAGATGTTAGTCTATGAAGACTGGGAGAAGGGGTTATGAAAACTCTGTTTTGTGACTGTTCTGTACATTTAAAATTGACCAAAAAGTTTTAAAATGTGAAAAAGAAATCTGATGAAGGCAGAATCTCATGGACCAGTCAAAATGGGCTCCTTTATTGTATTTGACTACCACACCAAAAAGAGGCCAGCTGTCCTAAACCAGTGATCATGTTATGGGATCTTTATTCAGAAATAGGTTAGAAAAAGAGTTGGAGGAAGCATATATGATGGAAAGTCACAGAATAATAGTATTCTTCACTCATCCCAAACTTACAGTGATTCAGGCACTTCGAAAAGTTCTTGAAGTGTTTTATTTCACTTGAAACCTCTCAACCAGTCAGGTGCTGGTGGTTGACACCTGTAATCTTAGCTACTCAGGAGGTAGAGATCAGTTGGATCACGGTTCAAAACCAGCCCTGGCAAATAGTTTGCAAGACCTTATCTCGAAAAAACCCATCAGAAAAAAGGGCTGGTGGAGTGGCTCAAGGTGTAGCCCCTGAGTTCAAATCACAAAATAAAACCTCACAACCTTTGTGGTCACTGTTAAAGTTTTCCCCATTACAGATGAGGAAACTGGGTATTACAGAAATAAAGGGTTAGGATCGTACAGCTGATGGGGATGGGATTGGAATTCAAATCCAGGTTGACTCTAGATCTCTTTCCTAACCACTCCACTGGTCTGTCTTCTCAAGGATGCCCTCATTCAATTTATACCTTGGAGCTTCTGGATTGGCAGGGTAGGGGAAGAGGAGCCAGAAGGCAGAAGGAAGGAGGAAGGTGATGGCCTAGTAGTTGGAGCTGTCCATGGTCCTGGTACTGCTCTAAACAGGCGTGGAGCTGGAGGAACACAACAAGGAGAGCTGCAGAGACAGAGCACTGTGAAGACTAGAAGGAAATGAGGAATTAGATGTGGTGACAGGTCTTCTGCCAGTGAGCAGAAATCACGACAGGGAAGACTTCAAGTTTGGGAGACTTGTTGAAATAAACAGCTGTGTGTACAGTAGCTGGTAAGGTAGGGATTTTTCTTCAAGTCTGACTAGCAACCAGTATAGTATAGTTATGATAAGTAACAAGTAGTACAGATATACAGGCTGCTAATAGCTGGAAAAAATTTTGTACTGGTTGTGGTTGGTAAATAGTCTCTGACATCCCTCCACTACCATGATTGCTCTCCCAGTCTCCTCCCTGTATCCTCAGACTTTCATATGATCCAAGAACTAAAGGGGTAAGGCCTGGATCAAGGTGGGCTTCCCAGACACTACTCTGGCTCTAAGGCCAGTTAGTGTTCTTTCTGATAGATTAGTTCCTCTAACTTACCAACTGTTAAGTAAGGTACTACCTTCATTTGTTCCCTTTACAGATGAGGTTTTGAGAGGTTTAACAATTTTCCTGACATTGCTCAGCTATTTTAGGGAAAGGATCAGAGTCTTTCTTTGTAGTCCAGGCTGGCCTTGAACTTGGGATCCTCCTGCTTCAGCTTTCCTATTGCTGAGATTTCAGGTGTGCACCATCACACTGGCTCCATGTAGCTATTAAAAGCTGGAACCAGGGCTTGAACTTGAGCCTTGAGATTAAACTCCATGTTCTTTTCCCTCCATTCCCTTATTGTTGGCCTATTGTTTCTTTCTAGTTTGTGTTAGGGACAATGAATAGAGAGAGAAGGAAGTCATGTAGGGAGCCTGGGCTTACTTAGATGAGTTATAAAGCCATACAGTGATGCTCTGAAAACTAAAAGAAAACCACATGGTAGTCCCAGGAAAGTTGGAATTCTCTTGCTATACAACAATCTATCCCCCAAACCCTACAGTTTTGTGCCCTGGAAGCCCACTCAGGCTGGTGGTACCACCAGTATCTTGATACCTTCTTACTTCAGCAGGTATAGAAGACCTTGCTTTTTAATGCAGACAGTGTCCCATATATGATCCTAGATACAAACTTGAACTACCCCATTGGCACTCTTACCACAGGCTGGGCTGAGAAGACTTACCCCATTTCTGAGGTCAGTAGCTTCTAGGGGAGGGCCCACCTTTCCATCTCCTTCCTTCAAGTATATCTTGGATACAGACTGGATTCTAGAGCCAACTATCAAAGTACAGCCGGAGTGTCAGAATAAAGAAAAATGGGAGAGGATACTACAGGTACTGGAGCTGGGTAGACATGTAAACTGGGTATCAGGACACCTTGGCATTCCCTTCCTCCTTTCTCCACCTCAGAGCAGCAAGGCAGCCAGTCTCCTTCCTGGAGAAACAAAGGAGTAGAGTGTGGAGAACAGAAAAATCCCCTCTTCAAGTGTGCTACAGAGAGTTTGGAAGCAGGTAAAAAGGGCAGGGGCACAGAAAGCTGAGTGGTTTAAATGGGACCTCCCATTTCAGAAATGACCTTCTCTCTCTCTCTCTCTCTCTCTCTCTCTCTCTCTCTCTCTCTCTCTCTGTATCTAAGTTTGTTGACTGCTTTACCCACATGTGTGATCATTCAATCTTCACAGTGCATTTTGAAAATTATCCCCAACAGATGAGGAAATTAAGGTTCAGAGAGATTGTGTGACTTTCCCAACATCTCATAGCCAGTAAATAACAGTCATAGTTAATCCCAAGTCGGACTGGTTTCCCAGCCCAGAATCCTCTATTCCATTTGAGGAAGTGCGGAGACATGAGACACTTGAAAAGAAAGTTTAGTGACGATATTTTTATATGAGCTGAAGCTTAAATCACTGAGTGTGCCCTGCCTTCATTGTTCTCTGGCAGCTTCCAGGCTGTCTCCCACCCATCCTTCTTCATTTCTCCTACATTCTGGTCCTCATCAATTTCCTAGGAGACTATAGTGTTAATCGGGATGGTCAAGGAAGGCCTATGGGATGACAGTTGAGCTAAGAGGTGAAGAGGCCAAAACAAATTGCCCAGATCTAGACAGTACTTGGATTTGAACTGGGGGGCCTTACACTTGCTAGGCAAACACCCTACCACTTGAGCCACACCTCTAGTCCCTCAACAATTTCCTGAATCATAATTCATCTTTGTTTACAACCTTGAACCAAACAGCACTTTCCCCTGTGGTCTTCTTGGGCCTAGGGAGGACAGGAGCACCAGGACCCAGCACTTATTATCTCCTATAGATTCCAGGCTCCTGAAAAGAGGACTTCTGAAAGAAGCCCAGCCTCCACTTCTTTCTCCTCATTCAACCCCTAGTTGTGCCTCTTTCTAGCCTATTCACCTCCCTGAGCAAACTCCAGAGGGCAGGCTTCTCCCTAGGAGTCCTCATGTCGGTGGAGGACACTATTGGCAGAGCTTCCAGGAAGCCATTAGAAGCACTGACTATAGGAGCCTGCTCATGGGAGGACCCATCTCCATCATCCCCAGCCCTGAATCCATCAAGATATGAGCAGGCAAGAACTCTGGAGGAGGCCTCCTTCAGTGAAGAGGCATAAAGACTCCTCTTCCATGTCTGGGTTTCCTTACTGGAATTCCTGAGGCCCCCACCAAACCCTGCTCTCAGAGCCAATGCTCTGTATTTATTTCTGGCCTAAGAATAAAAAGGTCACTGTTTTTGTCCTTAAGGTCCAGCTGAGTCAGGCTGACATTTCAAGAAGAACTTGGGGAAAAAACAAAAAGGAAATCATTATAGAAACTATAAACAGCTCTAAAATCATCAAGTCCAAAGTACAGATTTAAGATTCTGAGAATCACGGTAAAAGCAGTGAAATGCTCACCTTGATCCCAAGAAAACCCCAGGCTTAATCATACCAGCATAACTTAACTGGCCCCCTGGCCTGCCCCTCCCCTCCAGTCCTGCCTGACTCTAGTCATGTGATCTCCCAGGCCAAATCAGGTGACTTTGTCATCTCAGTCCATCTTCCACCTTTCACAAGTCAGCCCTAACTCTTCCAAAATGATGTTTATATTCTGGGTTGACTCCTGGACTCACTAAGCTTTCTTCCCATAACCATACCCCACCTCTTCATTCTGTGAACTGTCCTGGCAATGAGGCATCTGGAATTGCCCACAGAAGAACATTGAGATGTTCAGCTTCACCTACTTAAAAAGTCTTCACCAAATGCGACCCTTCCCCCAATGCACACACCAGCAAATGAACAAACGGGCTTCCAAAAATCCACAGCATGTGTGACAATGTCTTCTTCATACATCAACCTTTGGGTCCCTTTAAAATACTTCATTCACTTTGGTGTTGGGCCAGAAGAAATACTGGAAGAAAAAGCCAAGGATATTCTTTCCACCAGCAAAAGTAACCCATTTACAAAGGAATATTTAAATAAGAAATAACAGGTGACAATTGCAATTACAGGAATGAGGTTTCCTCTGAGGTTCTGACCCGATATCCACAACGCCTGTCTGGAGAGAACAAAAATGATTCCCATTAAGGTGTCAAGACCAAAAAGTACCTCTTACGAATTTTGTCGTCAACTAAAGTCATGATTGCTGGGATGTCCCGACAATTAGGGGACTTTATATACCTTGTGTTGATTCTCAGCACCAAAGCCAAACCAAACCAAACCAAACCAAACCAAACCAAAAAAATCCCCCCCAAACCCCACAATTGGGTGGCGCATTCGCCCTCTGTGAGTCTTGGCTCATTCGGGTTGCCGTCGTTGCCCTGGGATACCAGGAGACGCGGTGTCCTGCGCGTCCTGTATCTATGGATACAACATGGCGGCGGAGTGAGTTCTGAGCGTTGGTCCGGGTCTCTGCGAGCGACGCGACTGGCTAGGAAGGTATCGATGTGGAAAGACGGGCTCTTCCAGGAAGTCGTAGCCGGTGGTCCCCTCCATGCCCTTCAGAGAGTCCCGTGAGACTGAGATTTGGGTGACATTAATCAGACCGGGGACCCCGAGAACGAGGGAGGAACAGCTCTAAGTATTTTTGTTCCTTTCATTTTTACCTATTTCTTCCTCGACTATGCACAACGACTCCCCCCATCCCCGCCTGTTTTTTCCATGGCCATTTTGGGAAATTTTAAGGTCGGAAGTTAGTCAACTAAAGGAAGACTGAGGCTCAGGGAGATGGGAGAAACTTGCTTGTCCCTAGAGAGTCTGGGGAGATGCTGGAACCCCACTTCCCTTGTTCCCTATAGGGTCAGTGCTCGCTCACTCCCCTAAGCTAAGGCTGGACCAATTTGCTACCCCATCGTCTCTCATCTTTTCTATGCACTCTTTGGGATAGCTTCGTGTGTTGAGTGGAGACTTCCAGAGCTCAAGGGGCTGGCTATGGATTTTCCTCAAGTCAGGACATCAGTGAATAGGGGCAGGAAAAGGGACAGGAATAAGAGCAAAGAAAAGTAGTGGGACTCTCCTCCTTGCCTCCCCAGCATGAATTTCTTAGATTCCATCTGAACATCCACTAAACAATTGAAGGGAGGGGCCTTAACTGTCTTGTCCTGTGTCTAGCACAGTTCCTGTCACATCTTAGGCACTCAGCAAATGCTTTGTGAATGCATGAATGAATGAATGAATGAGTGACTCTAACATAATCCTCTTCAGTTTGTAGAACACTGTAGGAACACTAAGTCACAGAATCTTTTTATATTAGCATACATTAATATTATGAAGGGAGGTCCATTGTGATAATTCCATAGATGTGCACAGTGTATTTTGAACATCTTTTGTTCTGGATGGAGGAGGGAGGGAATGGGAGAGTGTCTACAGGAAGTGTATAAATTCCTAATGGTGATCATAAAATTCTTTATGAAGTCTGAATACATTCTAATAAGGAACTGAACCACAAACTTGAGAGGAAGAATGTTAAACTAAATAAAAGGGAAGTCACATGCAATCAATCATAAACTGTTGTCAGGATTAAAATACCTGTGATAACCTCACAACACTGCCTGCCACACAAATCCTCAGCATGGAAATTGTTATTATTTTTGAGATTTTTATTTGGAGAAGTGGGGAAGGATATTAAGCACTCTGAAAAACATACATATGTTTAAAAAAAAGGTATTAAAGCAATGCCCTCCAATGTGGTAGCCGTTAGCCAAATGCAGCTATTGAGCACTTGGAAGATGGGCATTCTGAATTGAAATGTCAGACTTAGTATAGAAAATGCAAACTATCTTATTAATAATTTTATGTCAATTACATAGTCAATGATCATAGTTTATATAGTGGGTTAAATAAGATATGTTATTAATTTCACCTATTTATTCTTATTTTTCGTGTGGTTATTAGAAACAAATTACATGTGTGATTTGCATTATATTTTGGTGGGTAGAGCCACATTTAACGATTTCATGGATGATGAGTTCATATTGAACACAAAGGGAAATTAGAGCTGAGTGTTTTGAGGTAGATCATCAGAGAGGTCTGGAAACCATTCCACATGTGCCTGAGCAGGGCTGGCCATAGTTGGAATGTCTGAGTGTAGAAATTTCTATCTAATAGGTTCCAAAGTCACATTTGGGTATGCGTGCAAAGGAAGCCAGCTAAAGGAAGAGGGGATTTGCAGTGATGGAGCCAGGGCCTCCCTTGCATATGCATGACATACTGCATATAATTAATTGGTTGCGTATATTTCCAGCTATAGTCTATCCAGAGAGCCTTGTACTATAAAGGTTGATTCATTTATCCTTCAATTGGTTCATTATTTCAGTGAATGCTTACTTGAAGCCTGGACTGCAGGGTGTGTTCTGGTGGAGGAAATCCAGAAAGCCAAGAACTCACCAGTCTCATTTGCCTCTTCTTTGCCCCTTATTCCTCTTCTCACAGTACATAGGACATGTTCCAAGAACACAGTGTAAAAGCCAGCTAAAGGTAATGCTTGTGCTTCGGTGACCTGGGTAATGCCAGGTGTGGTCATGGACGGTCAGGGCCCAGAAGGGTCCCTCTTTCAAGTCCCTAGGCCCTTAGCAAAAGCCCTCATTCTGTTTCCAGCCTCGTTTCTCATAGTGCCACCTCATACCCTCATACTCAGCTCCATCTAAATGTTGCAGAGTCTCAATGTCTAGAGCAAATTTCCCCACGGACTTCTCTTTTTCATGTCCCTCCTGTCTCCCCTCTGCTCTCCTCCCAGCAGACTCATATCTGGATCTGGCAGGAACTCCTGGCTTAGCTAGACTGCTCCCCTTGGATTCATGTTCCAGGTGCCCAATGTTCATCCAGACAACTCCAAGCTCCACCATGAGGCTTAGGAGCAGTGTAAACTCTGGTGAATCATGCCAGAGTGCCAGCACGATGGCTGTCCCCACCATCAGTGGCAGCACTGTAGGCACCAGTGCCTGCAGCAGCAGCATCAGTGCCCAGGTGAGAACTTGGCCAGGGCAGTGAAACAAGATGTTTCAGGGCCATATTGGGGCATGGGTGGCAGGGCAAGGGGATGGGAATCTAAGGACCCTGGCTTTGCATCTATATCCCAGAACTAGACCCTGCCTAGATGAAGCACCAAGCAGCCTGGAGTGCTGGTAGCAGCAAACATGCAGTGAGAGGCTGTGGGGAGAAGAGAGCTCCAGGGAGGGGGAGCAAGCTGGAGGCTGTGTGTGTAGCCATTGTTTCTCTTTTCCCTCAGGAAACTCTTTTGGCCTGGATTCCTGGGACTTTGTGTTTGACCAATGTGTGGATATTGTTTACTTTTGCAATTCTGTAATTCTCTGTGTGTGGCCGTGTTATTGTCCAGAGGTGTGACTATGCAGTATGATTTTGTTTGGTGTGGTATGTGTCTGTGCCAGGGGATGGATGGGGGTGGCACCTGCCTCCTTAGTTGTGATGGTCTCTGCATTCACCTCCCTGTGGACTGGGGGCCCATTGAAGGCATCTAGCCCCCATTCTGTGCCATTCTGGGTCTCTTTGCCTTTGGATTCACCCTTTATCCTTTTTCTTGTATGAGGTGGGAGGAGGCTGCAAAGTGAGAGGAAGGGAGAAGCCAGGTTATATCTTTTCCACTCTCTCTGCTCTTAATAGAGTCTACATCAGCATCTGGATCTCCCCATGGTCCCTGCTCCCACCAGACAAGCTGCAGGGCCCCAGTAGCCTCCCCTCATCTGGGTGCAGTGATGTCACTAACCCCTGGGTCACTTTACTGCTCCTGATTGTGTATTACATTCCCAGTTTCAAACACCAGTCAGTCAGTCTGTTTTCCTGACTGACCCCAGATTGATGTACCAACTGAAACTTACAGTCATCCATGTCATCTTTCCTCCATGAGCAATCTGGGAAAGAAAATGTTATATTGGCCATCTAATGTTTTCTGTTATATATTGAAACTGAGCATGCAAGCTGTCAGAGAGAAGGGATTTGTAGGTCTTGTTCATCATTGTAGTCCCAGAACCTAGCACAGTGTTTGGTGCATGATAGATAGAAATATTTGCTGAATGGATGACTACATCCTTGTGTTATGTAACAATAGACAATACTCGGTCAAAGATAAAACGGCAGTGAGTTGAGCATTCATAGAAATGGCTGTGATAGGAAGGGGCCTCTGGTTCGTCCTTCCTCCACCTTACTGCCCCAGAATCTACCCATCCCCCTCCCTCTTCAGGTAGGTAGGCCTTATGGATCAACTGAAGAAGGATTTTCCATTACAGACAGGGAATCTTGCATTGGCACATTGCATCTCCATACTCGAGGGTATGGGCAGGGATTGTTCACAGGTGAATCAATTTCTTCCTCCTCTCCAACAGCCAGCAGAGGATGGGAGAGGGAACCATGGAGTGTCCTGTGGTCTGGAAAATGCTTTGGAAAGACCATTCATCTAGGAGAGGCTTCTGCAGTGAGAGGCAGGATGGGGAAGAAGAGAGGGAGGAGGCTGCAAGGGAGAGGGGTCCGAGGGTGCACAAGGAACAGAACCCACCAACCAAACCTGAATTCGTGTGCTGGATGGAGTGGCCCAGGGAATGCCTCAGGGGCCGGGGGCTGGGCTTCTCATTGGCAAACTGTTCCCTGACCTCCGAAGAGGTAATGTCTGACTCCTGGGGCCCATCTGCTCCTCACCTTCTCTCTCTAGACCATGTCCCAGAGGGTGAGAGTGTTGTCACTCACTATGTGCTGGAGACAGGAATGGAGCCGGGCAGATGTTTGTTTGTTCTCTGCATCTTTGCATCCTACCATGCTAATGTAACCCTCCTTCTCCGTGGCACCTGAACAGCCTACCAGCTCCATGGACACTCAAGTGTGCATCCAAAAGAAGCATGACAGAGTAAAGAAGAGGGTTGTCTGGGGCATTGAGGTGGCAGAGGAGCTGCAATGGAAAGGCTGGGAACTGGGGAAGGAAACCACAAGAAACCTGGTTCTGAAAAATCTCTCCTTGAAAATCCAGAAGATGAGCTACAGGTATCAGAAAGAGGGACCAGGGACCCAGCCCTGAGCCTTCATGCTCTCAAAGCAGGCTCTTTAAAAAAAAAAACAACTTAAAGTTGCCATATAAAGTGAGAATATTCAAAATGTGCACTTTGAAGAATTCTAGAAAGTGGGACCAATATCACTAGATTAAATCATGGACCATCTCCTATATGGGTACACCCTTCCTACCCACAAAGAGAATCCACTCTCATCTTGCCTTTTCAGGGGGTGGTAGAACTGGGCCTTGAACTCAGGGCTTTGCATTTGCAAAGCAGGCGCTCAACTGCTTGAGCCACACCTCCAGTCCATTTAGCTCTGGTTATTTTGGAGGTAGGGTCTCGCAAACTGTTTGCCCAGGCTGGCCTCAAATCATGATCCTCCCAATCTCAGCCTCCTAAATAGTTTAGGATTACAAGCGTGAGCCCCTGGCACCTGGCATCTCATCCTGCCTTTTGTGTTAAGACTGCCTTGCTTTTCTCAAATGATCTACCACCTGTGAAGGCATTCTTAAGTGTACACTTTCATTTACCTTCTTACGAACTTTATGTAAGTGGAAGAATAGGGTATGCATTCATAACCCTTTTATTTTACTCAGTTATGTCTGTAAGACTCATCCATGTGCAGCTGTAGTTACCCCTTTTCATTGTGGCGCAGTGTCCCAGTGTATATGCTTATGCCATGGCGTAGTCATCCGTTCTTCTGTTGAGGGACATTTGGGTTGTTTCCAAGTTGGACTGTCACCAACACTAGTGATGCATCTTCTGCTGCACAAGGATAAGGTTTTCTGGGTGTAGACACTGGAGTAGGATTGCTGACATTTAGACACGTACATGTTCACTTTTCTGTAGATGAAGCTACAGTATTTTCCAAAGTACAAAGACAAGCCCTATTTGTATTCCCATCAGCAGCATAAGAGTTTCCATTCTTCCATGGTCAGGATTTAAAATTTCACCAATAATATCAACTTGTGGCTTTACTTTGCATTTCCCTGATTATTGATTAATGAGGTTGAGTGTCTTTTCATAGATTATTGACCATTTGCCTTTCTTCATGTGTGAAATTCATGTTGAAGTCTGTGCCCATTTTTCTATTAGATTATGTCTTCTTTATCTATGTCTTCATCTTTTTGTTCTTTTCTGGATACTAATCCTTTGTTGGTTAGTGTTGTGACTATTTTGTCTCACTGTATGACTTGTCTTTTCCTTTCTTTTTTGTGTCTTTTGAAAAATAGAAGTCCTTTGTTTCAAAGGAATTAAACTTACTAATAAAAAATTCACTAAAAAAAAAAAGAAGAAAAAAAACCTTACTAATCTTTTCCTTTTACAGTTAGTGCTTTTTTGTATCTTGCTTAAGAAGTTCTTTTGTGCTGCTGGAATGGCTCAAGTGGTAGAGTGCCTGCTTAGCAAGTGTGAGGTCTTGAGTTCAAACACCAGTACCACCAAAAAAAAAAAAAAAAAAAGACAAGAAAAGAGAGAAGTCCTTCTGTAGGTCATGGAGATATTTTCCTATGATATTTTCGAAAGATCTCCTAGTTAGAGGGTGAATTCAAGTATGATATATTTGATATATTGCAAGAATGTTTGTAAATGCCACAATATACCCCCATCCAGCACAACGACAAAAATAAATAAAAGGACTTCCTAGTTTTGCCTCTCATGTTTGTCTTTGATCTATATAGAACTGATTTTTTTGAATGGTTTGAAGTGGGGACCTGATAGCTTATTTCTTCTCCATTGAATGTCCAGTTATCTCAACACCATTTATTGAAAAGTTGATACTTTCTCTGATGATCTCCCACACACTGACATATATCAAGTATCTATATGTGTGCAGGTTCATGCTTGGATCCTGTTTTGTTCTCTTGATTTACATGTGTGTCCCTGGGCTAATACCATCCTGAGTTAATTATTAGAGCACATAGCAAACCTTGATATCTGATGGTACAAGTGCTCCAACTTCATCCTTCTTCAAGATCGCCTTGGTTATTATTCTTGGCCCTTTGAACTTTCATATGAATCTTCAAATCTGCTCATCATCCACACATATAAAAAAACTCTTTGTCCCAGCTATTCAGAAGGCAGAGTTCAGGAGGATCTCAGTTCAAGGCCATTCCAAGGAAAAAGTTAGCAAGACCCCATCTCACAAATAAGCTGGGTGTGGTGGTTCACACCTGTAAGCTACATGGAGGTGTAGATAGAAAGATCCAGGTCCAAGGCCAGCCCAGGCAAAAAGCACAAGATCCTATCTGAAAAAAAAACCCAAAGCAAAAAGAACTAGAAGAGTGGCTCAAGTGGTAGAGTGCTTGCCACAAAAAATAATTTAAAACTTTTTGTGATTTTTATTGAAATTTAATTGAGCCCATAAATTTGAGAACAACTGACATTGCAATATTGAACCTTTTAATCAATGAATGTAGGGTATTCCCATATAATACTTACTAGATTTTCTTTCATGTCTCAATTAAGTGTAAAGTTTTTTTCTGTAGACAGCACACACATTTTAGTTAGCTTAATTCCAAAGTATTTATTATTTTGATGATATTATAAGTGAGACATATTTTTGGAGGGGGAGTGGATTAAGACAAGATTTCACTAGCCCAGGTTGGCCTCAAAATCATGATCCTCCTGCCTCCACTTCACAAGTGCTGGAACTACATGTGTGCACCACCACACTTGGCTATATGTGTTAAAGTTGTTTACAGTTTTTGTTTGTTGATAGTTTCTTGAATATCATTATTATTATTTTTTGTGGTACTGGGATTTGAACTCGGGCCTCATGCTTGCTAGGCAGGCACTCTACCACTTGAGCCACTCTGCCAGTCTTTTTTTGTGTTGGATATTTTTGCCTGGGTTTACTTAAAAAAGAACTGTGATCCTCCTAATTTCTGCCTCCTGAGTAGCTAGGATTACAGGCGTGAGCCACTCTAGCCAGTGAATATCATTAATTTTATACAGGTATCCAACAATCTTGGTAAAGCTTCTTAGTAAGTCTAATAATTTATGAATTCCTTTAGTTTTTCCTCACATGCACATTCATATTTTATAAGAAAAATGGCATTTTTCTTTCGTCCTTTTCAATTCTTACCCTTTTTCTTTCTTTGTCTGTCCTTACTGTGCTGTTATAGAGTGTTGAGCAGAAGTGCTATGGAAGAAATCCTTGTTTAGTTCTTAATTCTTTTTTTTTCTTGGCAGCACTGGGGTTTGAATTCAGGGCTCTGCACTTGCTAGGAGACACTGTACCACCTGAGCCATGGCCTAGCACCCTTGACTAATTCTTGATCTCAGAGTGAGAGTCCAATGTTTTACTGCTGGGCTGGATGTTTCCCGTAGGATTTTTTTTTGTAGACTTTCTCAGATTAAGGAAGTTCTCATCTATTTCTACTTTGTTAAGAGTTTTTGTCATAAACAGATTTTTGAAGTTTCTCTCACATTTTTATTGAGATTATCATTTGGGTTCCCCCCTCATTAATATAGTAGATCCTATCAACTCATTTTTTATGTTAAACTAACCATGTATTCCTGGAATAATCCTCTGATCATGACTGAGTATACTTTCTATACATTGCTAGGTTCATTTTTTTGTGGTACTTAGATTTGAACTCAGGGCCTACACCCTTGAGCCACTTCACCAGCTCTTTTTTGTGATGGATTTTTTTTTTTGAGATAGGGTCTCATGAACTATTTGCCCAGGCTGGCTTCGATCCACAGTCCTCCTGATCTCTGCCTCTTGAGCAGCTAGGATTACAGGCGTGAGCTACTGGTACCTGGTGCTAGGTTCATTTTGTTAATATTTTGTTTTTGAGTAAGACTGGCTTGAAAATTTCCTTTCTTCTCTTGTCTGTCAGGTTTTAGTAACAACATTATAGTGATTTCAAAGAATACATTGAGGTGTATTTCTTCATTTCATATTACCTGGAAGAGTTTAAGACTGTAATTGCTTTTCGTCAAATGCCTGGTAGGACTTGGTGTGCAGCTGTTTAGTCTAGAATTTTCTTTGTGGGAAGATTTTTACCCACCTATTTCATTTCTTTGATGATTTTAGGTAGAGTGGTCATAATAAAATTTATTATATAATTCTTGAGACATTTTGCTAAGTCATACTTTCCTAGGGAGGTGTTTATTTCATCTAAACTTAAAACACTTATTGGTTCAGAGCTGTTGACTTCTTATTAATTGTCTTCTTATTAAAACTATATGTAAGGTGGCCCAACCAATGTATACACATATGAGTAAATGTAAAAACAAAAAAAAAAAAACTGGGAATCAAACTCAGGGCCTCACACTTGCTATTGTTAAGTCTGTAGTGTCTATGCTGCTGACCCACCCTGGGACTCTGCAGCTCTGCAACCTTAGCACTTCTGTTCCCAGCTTTGACTTCCCTGGTTATTATGTGCTCAGGAATTCTGTTAAATCAGGGTGGCCTGTGCCTATCCCTGTCCCCATGGGCCATCATCCTCATCAGAGTCACAAATACTACTCTTTTTTGTTCCAAATGAAGACCTGAGAGAATGGTGGTTGTGATCAGACCACTTGTTTCCCCCTCCATGGACTCATTCTCTTTTTCTCTGTGGTCCCAAGTACTCTATTCCCCTCAGCTTCCTAGGTCTTCCCTGATCTTCCTGCCTTCTCTCAGTGTTTGGAGGCCAGCTCTGAAGTGCTTATCCCTGGCTCTTTCCTACAGGCCTCCCAAGACCAAGTTCTTCTTCACGATCACCCCTCAGCCCATCTTCCTGAGCCCAGGCATAACCCTCACGCTCCCCATTGCCTTCCGGCCTCTGGAGGAGGTGAGGTCTGCCAGACAAGCCCTGGAGTGTGAGGAGGGATGCAGGAACAGAAACTTCAGAACAGCACACAAGACTGAGCACCAAGGAGCTTCCTGTTCCACACATACATCCCACCTACTATAGCAAAAACTCCACATTGGGAAGTCCTCAAAATGGGCTCAGATCTTAAATCTCATTGCAGATTGGGGGAAAGGCGATGATGCCATGTTGCCTTCAGAGGGCTTTAGATATCTTGGCCTCTTCTTGCTTCCTGCAAATTTCCTCAAAACATTTATTTTTGGAGACTCTCTGTTGCCTAGGCTGGCCTCAAACACTAGGCTCAAGTGAGTCTCTTGCCTCAGCTCCTGAGTAGCTGGAATTATAGACATACACCATTGCGTCCAGCTCTTCAAAATTCTTTGCTCCTCAAAAATGAAGCCCTAATCTCTGCAACCCGGAGTAAAGGAAATGGGCCCTCTCCTCAGGCTGAGATGGTGGGCTATTGCCCAGCATGCTGGAGGAATGGCTTAGGGCAGGTGGGATGTGTGATCTGTAAGTGCTCCCTGGGTATCACTGGCCAGTGACTCTCCCATTTTCTTCCTGCCCTGCAGAAGGAGTACATGGACCAACTGTGGTTCGAGAAGGAAGAGGGGATATTCTGTGTGGAACTGAGGGCCATCTTGCCTTGCCACAAGCTCGTCTGCCCACCATCCCTGCAGATACCTATGTGTGCCACTGGAGACATGGTCGAGGCCTGGTTCTGTCTGGACAATGTGGGGTGAGGGGGAGGTTGAGGCTCAGAGGTGATAAGAGCAAGCCCTGGAGGGGGGGCTCCAGGGATCAGGGAGATAGGCGCATCCTGATCGGGAACAGAGAGGCCACCAGAGTCTGCCTTGCTAAGGTAGGAGCAGTGGTCAGAAGGAACATAGTGGCCCTGACTTGTTCCCCATCCCTTCCCCCAGGGACCTGTCCACTTTCTTCACCTGGGACTTCCCCAGCCCATTCCAGATGTTCCCTGCCACGGGGTTACTGGAGCCAGGCCTGGCTTGTAGGATGAAAGTGACCTTTCAGCCCCTCATAGCTGTCACCTATGATGTTGAGGCCACATGCTGGTATGGGAAGGGCAGCAAGCAGAAGAGCAGCATTCAGCTGCAGGCTGTAGGTGAGGCCCGCCCTCCCACCTGTTCCCAGAGCCCAGCTGCTGCCCTTCCCTGGGTCTCAAGGCCTCAATGTGCTCCCACCCCTGACCTGGGCCTCCACCAGCCTCTCACCTTTCTCCAGCCTCTGGGATTTGCCTTCTATTATGTCACAGACTGCTTTTTCCCTGGGGACATGTTCCTGCTAGGTGCTGTTCAGCTGGAGCCAAATGGGCTCCAGTGGGTTCCCCCTAAAACTCACCCATCTCTGCCCTAGGCAAATGTGCCCAGCTGCTGGTAAGCATAAAGCACAAACGGCCAGAGGACCAGGATGTGGAGGGCTTCCAGAAGGTGTTACACTTTGGCTCCGTTGCTGTGGGCTGCACCGCGGAGAGGCAGATTAAGCTGTATAACCCATCTGCAGTATGCATAGGACTGGTGGGGATGGGAAGGGAGAGGCAAGACTCAGGGACCACAGGAGTTCGAGCCCCTACTGTCTACCCCTCTTTTTCTCCACACTTCTGACCCAAAGCCTTGCAGAACCATGTCTGTTGAAGCACATGTGTCAACAGATGCTCCTTTCTCCTCTTAGGTGGGACTGAGCTCAGGTTTCTTCCAGCCTCCTGGAGCAATCTCTAGAGGATTCCTGAGGGTCCTGACCCCAGGACCAGAGCCAGCTCTGAGAGTATCTTTGGGAGAAGAAAAACAGTGTTCCTTTCTGGGCGTCCCCCAGGCAGAGCACATGGCTTGGCTGCTTCCTTACCCCATGCTCACACTGGCCAGTGGGCCCAGCCTCATCACTTACTGTCCCTGCCCTGGTTCCTCAGTACAATGTAGACTGCCCAACCCTGAGACCTCCCCCCCCACACACAGGTGAATGCCCCCTTCAAGATCGAAATGGTCCCAGATATGCTGGCAAAAGACCAGGTGTTCTCGTGCTCCAGAGCCCATGGCATGGTGTCCCCAGGAGGGAAGAAATGCGTGTCAGTGTTCTTCCACCCCAAGACCTTGGACAGCAGAAGAATGGACTACATCTCTGTCATTCCTTCTGGCTGTGCCTCCCAAACTCTTCTCCAAGTCATTGGTTTCTGCAGAGGTATTGGTAACCTCAGCTGACTGCACTCCCCAGCACAGAAGCAGCCCACCCAGGGTTCCCAACTTGCCTCCTGTCCCCTCAGCCTGGGTGTTTGCTGCCCCCTGGTGGCTCCTTGGGGAAGCATTGTAGACACATGGAGATACCTTCCTACCATGACCCTAGCGATGCTGGAGCTGTGCTCAGGCTGCAGGCGCTCTAGGCCAGTCCAGCCTGGTCACCTGTCTCGAGGCAGTACAACCTCCCAGCAGGGGCACCCCTTCTGAGACATTCTGTGGGAGCTGATAACCCCAGCCTCACTCAGGTGACGGGGTCTGCTCACTCACAGGGACTCATCTTCTATGCCCAGGTCCTGCTGTGTCCTTGCAGCACTACTGTGTCAACTTCAACTGGGTCAACCTTGGGGAGCACTCAGAGCAGACTCTGTGGATTGAGAACCAGTCAGACTGCTCAGCCCACTTCCAATTTGCCATCGACTGCCAGGAGAGTGTCTTCAGCATCAAGCCTGTCATTGGGACCCTGGTGGGCAAGGCCCGCATGATCTTGCGCTGTGTCTTCCGGCCCACTCACCCTATCATCTGCTTTCGGCGGGTGGCCTGTCTCATCCACCATCAGGTGAGTGGTGAGGAAAGGGGCAAGGTAGACAGTGGAAGGGGCACCCTAAGACCCACAGATGAATACAAGGCTTGGTGGGTTCTCCCTTGTATTGTGGAACCTCTGAAGCTGTCTTTTGGGTCACTTCCTCCTTCAGGGCCCCATCCAGGGTTTTGGAGGCAGAATGTGGCCAAGGGCACATATGAGGGCTCACTCAGCCAGGTGGGTGTGTCAAACTTGCCCTGATTGCTGCCACGCCAGAGGCTCTGCTACTGCTGTTGCTAGAGGGCTGAGGAGAAGCAGACTTGGACGTCACCCCACACCACATGTGCAGGGCAGAGAGCTTTGAAGTTAGAATCCAAACCTAGCCCCCTGGGCAAGGTCATACACATGGTGTGCTGACCTGTGGTTTCTGGGTGTGATGACAAGCAAGGGCTGGAATCTAGCCCATGAGTTCCCCTAGCTGGTGCCTAGGTTCTGGTCTGAATTTGTCTGCCTGGGAAGGGGTCCTGTTTCCAATTCTCATGGAGGTGCAGTATGAGCTCAGGGAGGGCTTGGGACGAGGGACAGAACAGTCAGTTTGCATACCCTGAAGTGTAGAATTCTGGTCTGGGTAAGCTCTTGGCTGGCTGTAGGATGGGCCAGTGAGAGGAAGGGCAGGCAGTGGCCTTGGGAGCTGGGCTACTCTATTCCTGACTTGCTCAGGACTCCTGCTGTCTCCTTAGCCAGCCAAATTGTCAGAATGTCCCCTCCACCTGCCCAGCACCTGTCCTTAGTTCAAACCCCAGCGTCCTCTTGCTCTACCACCCCTTCTGTGCCCCATCACACCTGGATAAATGTCACAGGATCCACTGTTCCTGGACCTGATTGGAACCTGCCACTCAGATAGCACCAAACCAGCCATCCTGAAGCCTCAGCATCTCACCTGGTCCCGCACACACACAGCTCGGGGCCTGGCGCTCTACCCCCCTGACATCCTGGCTGCTATGCTGAAGGAGAGGAAGCTGGAGCGGGATCAGGATGGGGCCCTCATGCTGCCCATCGAGGTACTGTGGATCCTCTGGACTCCAGATGCTCCGGTCCCCCAGGGGAGCATGCTGCCATTCCCAGATTCCTGCAGCTTTCTTTAGCAATCCCTAAAGGCATAGTTTTGTGTTCCCCAGAGCTCTGTGGGTACCACTGTAGCTGGAGGTGACCTGCATGGAGTTCTTACAGCCTTTTCTGGGAAAAAGGGGCGAGAAGGAGAGCAGCAGCAAGAAGACCGGCATGTGGGCCCTGTCTCTCCCTGTGCAGGATCTGGATAATACGTCACCACCACAGTATCCCTTTATCTCCCCCATGACGGAGTACTTCTTCGACGGCACCAACGACGTGACCATCTTTCCCCCTGCTGTCAGTATAGAGCCTGTTGAAGTGGACTTTGGTGCCTGCCCTGGGCCTAAGCCCTCCAATCCTGTCCCCCTATGCCTGATGAACCACACCAAGGGGAAGATCACAGTAGTCTGGAAGCGCAGGTCTGACTGTCCCTTCTGGGTGACCCCAGACACCTGTGATGTGCCTCCACTCAAGTCTATGGCCATGCGTCTGCACTTCCAGCCATCCTGCCCGAACAGCCTCTATGCCGTGGAGCTGGAAGCCTTTGCTGTCTACAAGGTGTGTGCATGCAGACCAGTGGAGGTGGGGAGGCATGTTCTATGCTGGACACTGAAGGGAGGGGTGGAGTTGCAGGGAGTGACGGAGGGCACTGCGGGGCCAGGCTTCTCCTACATTTTCCTTGGCTGGATGGTTCCCCTCCCCACCCCTTGTACTGGTTTTACCCTCTCAGGCTCCTGACCCTATGTGGCTCCTCTGACATGTCTCATTCATGTGTGGCCTCTCTCCCTCCCTTCCACGAAGGAACTCAGCTGGGACAAAGCCCTTTGGAAAAATTTGGCACCCCGCAAGTAACTCTCTAGGGGTCCTGGCTAGTTCTTGAAGTAGGAAGTAGTCCCTCTAAGGGAGCTGTGAGCAGGCCAGAACCAGGACTGGAGACAGTCAAGGGCATAGGATAACAGGGGAGGGGCTTTTAGCACAACTCCCTTGGTCAGGAACTTCAGCACACAGGCTGTCCCCAGCCTGCTATGGTGGTCAGTCTTTTAGTCCCTATGTGCTTCCAGGTAGCCCTGCTTTCTCAGCTTCTCTGCTCTGCCCATATGCTGGTCTTTCCTAGTGGTCCAGTGCTGGTGTTAGGCTGGAAAACAATAAAGCTGACAGTCAAGGTCAGAGTCACTTACCAACTGTGTGACGTTGGGCAAGTTTCTTAATATTTCTGGCCCTGGCCTTTGCATCTATAAACTTGGGGCCACATCTGAACTTTTAAGGAGGTGTTTAATTGCCGCCTGTTCACATATGTTGGCAGTGAGTAGAGAGGGTGGTGGAGGTGTGTAGGACTAAAGCCATGGACTCCTGGCTGGCCAGGAGTGAGCACATCATATTTTTAAGTTGAAGCTCTAGACCTGCCCTGTCCCTAAGTCAGTCATCAGCCACACATGGCACCTGAAATGTGGCCGGTCCAAATAAAGATGTGCTCTAAGTATGAAATGTACCCAGATCTCAATGACTTATTATGAAAAGAATGCAAAATATCTTACTAATAATTTTAACGATGATTGTATGTTTAAATGATAAGATTTTGGATCTATTGGGTTGAATAAAATATTTTAAATAAATTACTGAAATTAATTTCACGTGTTTTACTTTTTTCATGTGGCCGCTGGAACATTTAAAATTGCATTTGTGGCTGGTGTTTGTGGCTCACGTTATATTTCCATCGGCCAGCGCTTCCCTGGGCTCATTCTTACAGAATGAATGCCTCTTTCACATCCTACCTAACCCCCATCTGGGCAGCCGTAGGGACTACAGAGAGAGGGTGCTTAGAACAGGGCCTGGCTCATGGTGGGAGGGGCTGTGTACAGCTGTTGTTCTCTGCAGTCTTCCCTGGGCTCCTCCTTCCTGTGCCCAATGGAGGATCTCAGCAGCATGGGGGCAGGGAGGGGACAAGGTGGCTACCTTCTAGGATTGGACACCAGGCTCTAAGCTTCTTCATGGACTGGCTCCCTGCAGGTCTTACAGAACTACACTAATATTGAGGAGGACTGTACTGTGTGCCCGTCCTGGTGTCTGAAGGTGCGGGCTCAAGGCCATAGCTATCGTGCTGCCTTAGAGCACCACATCCCCCATTATTCTCTGGATGCACCCAAGGTGAGAATAGCCCCAGCAGCAATGGGAGTGGGTTGTGGGGTTGGACTGTGGATCCCTCTTTTCTTCTCTGATGGCTTCACAGATACATTCCCACACCCGCACTGGCCATTCTGGGAATCTGGGATGAGGACAGTCTGGGGATGGGACACCATCTGAGGTACCCTTTTGGTCCTCTCACTCTTGGGTTTAAAACTCTTTGCTCTTTTATCTGTCTGTGCCCCAATCACCAAACACCTGCCAGGCCTCACATCCAAAGTTAGGCCCCTAGGGATATGACAGCCCAAACCATGAGCCTTGTCCTTACAGAGTACTCCGTGGTGGGGGGCGAGGGTGGGGAGCAGTTTCTGAATTCCCAGGCCTTGCTTCAGGCCCTTGGAGGTCCTATCTGACCTCAGAAGCAGGATAATGTAGAGCTGAAAAGTGCAGGGCCTGGGACCAGGCTGCCAGCTGCCAATTCTGCTGTGGCCTCATGCCTCCTCCCAGTTTCCAGGGCCATCATCAGTTTTTTTCATTAGTCTTCTAGTTGCTGGAAAGCTGCCACGTTGACACCCATGGCCGGAGGTGGTCCTGCTTCCCCCAGCTATACTTTTGCCCTCCAATCCCAAATCTACACCACCCTGATATCCAGCTCAGGTGCTTCCCCTTCCCAAAGCCCTGCCTGACTCACAGACTTCTTGCTGACTCCCTCAGTCCCCTTTCTTTGGCAGCTGCTCCCCGTGGTCTGTGGTGTTTGCTATAGCCCAACAGATTCCAACCCTATTGCTCCTGTACTGACTCACACATGCACTGTTGCCCCAGCTGGGTGGAAAATTAGGTCAGGAATTATAGAGCTTGTGTTTTGTAGTCTGGTCGGTTCTTAGCCTAGTGCTGGCCACAGCTCAAGGAGAGTTTGGGAGCTGGGACAGTAGGGGTTGGCTCCCCTCAACCACCTGCATGAGAATCATTTAGAAGGGGCTGAAGCCCAGCATGGTGGTGCGTGCCTGTAATCCCAGGTACTCAGGAGGCAGAGGATCAAGAGTTCAAGGCTAGCCTGGGCTAATTTAACAAGACCCTAATTCAGGAACAAAATACAAAGAAACACTTGCCTAGCATGTGTCAAGCTCTCTGGGTTCAATCCCCATTTGCAAATTTAGAAAGGGGTTAGGGAGGAGCCTAACTTCAAGATTTTGGAACAGGATCTCCAAAAGTGGTTATCCAAAGAGTGACTCCTCTACCTTAGGGACAGGACTTGGAGGCCTGAGTTTCTGTGGACCTGTGGCAGCCCAAGCTCTGTCTGGAAGTCTCTGGGGGACAGAAACATTCTTTGGTGCCAGACTTTGGTCTCTCTCAATTTCTGCTATCAGGGCTTGGCTAGGCCATGTGCAGGCATCTTGGATCTCCCTGGAGATAGCCACACTTAAGCTCACGTGAATGGCCCTGAGTGTGTGTGTCAGGGTGGAGATCTGAGCAGGGCTCCCCTTTCCTCTTTTCCCCTCTACCCTCAGCTGTTTCCTGCTGTGTCCTCCGGCGAGTCTTCCTACCGCAGCTTGCTTCTGGTCAATAAAGGCCCCATGCTACTGACCTTCAGCCTGGTCCCCAAGACTGGCTTAGACATCACCCTCCGCCCCACATTGGGGCTCATAGTTCCTGGGGCCCACCAGATCTTCCTTGTCAGCACCTGCCCCAAGGGCACCTCCTGGAAGCAGCACATTTTCTACCTTCAGTTCAACTTTTACCCCCAGTATCGCCAGGTAGGAAACAAGGGTAGGAGAGCTGAGTCCTTGGGAGTGGGTCACAATCTTGGACTTCTTTTTTCAAAATCATATTCTGGGGTTGGCCTTTAAGGCCCCCATAAAGTAGCCGGAAGACCAGTCTTCTAGGAAGTGACCTTGTAGAGAGGCCCTTTAGTTCCTTCCACCACTAGGGACCTGTCTACCTCATGAAGTCTGGTACCAAGACTAAGGGTTCAGAGATGCCAGGCTCACCTGCAGATGGTAGAGGGGGTGTTTGGAGCCACCCTAGGGTTGGGGTCTGGATGATGTACTCACATCTGACCCCATGAAATTGTCTGTACCAACTCTACCGGTCCCTGAGTTCTTTTCGATCCACCCAGGCTGGCATAGGGCCTTTGCTGCCCCCCTCTAAGTGGGCAGTGCTGCCTACCCATGGTCTCCTGGACCTGTGGGGGTCTAAGACCTCGAGGTAGATCAGGCACCGCTCTCCTTCCTCTGGCCTAGGAGGTAAACATGCAAAGCAGGGAGGAGCCACTCCAACTGAAGCTGGATACCTGCAAAAGCATCTTCTTCAAGCCCACCTGGGTGGGCTGCTCCTCCACCAGCCCCTTCACCTTCCTCAACCCCTCACGTCTGCCCCTGGAGTTTGAGTGGAGGGTCTCCCAGCAGCACCAAAAGACGCTGGCTGTCCAGCCCTCCAGAGGGCTCATCCATCCCAACGAGAACCTTGTGAGTACTCTGGCCCATTGCCAAGGGTCACCTTCACCTTCATCATCTCTCACTCATGGTTCTCATGGGCTATGATGTGAACCCACCCATTTGATCCACAGTAACCTCGAGTAGGTATTAAGATTACCACTGTTGCCACCCTCATTTTACAGAGAATTCAGACTTGGGGGGGATGAGTCAGTTACTAAATTGAGGTTAAGATGTGGAGGGTGGAGCTAGAAACAGTATTTCTGACGCCAGGCCCTACAGCATATCCACATTCCATCATCCATGGTTCCCAAAGCAGGGTGGTCTGGAGCAACTGTATTTAGGGCCAAACAGGTGGTCCCAAATGGGTGAGGAAAGGGAATCTCAGAGGTCACAACTGAAGCACGGGCTGTAACCCAAAACAGCAGGCCTTGTCTCTAGCCTAGAACCTTAAAGGCTAGTTGCAAAAGTCAGACTTGGAGCAAGAACCACCAAGACATGGTGTCTATAAGTGCCTAGGGACAGTAAAAGGTGACGTGAGAGATCACACAGACTCAGGAGATGGCTCAAGTATTCATGTCCCAGCTCTTGCCCTTACCGGCTGTCTGACCTTGGACCAGTTATCCCACTTCTCTGAGGTTCCAGTTTATCATCACAAAATGAGTCTTGAAAATAAGGCCACTGGCCTGCCGTGAGAACATAGAAGCGAGGGGCTCCGGGAGACACGTGTAACGTAGCATACGTAGATACTTAGAACGCATTAGCAGAGTTGGTACCCTGCAATGGGACCTCCACTGGTCAGGATTCTGGGGAAGGGGGTTCTGGAGGCCTCCATGCAGGGACTATCGCTGTGACCCCAGACACTGACATGGATCTTCAGCCCTTTGGAGGAGACCAAGTACCTGTTCCGAGTAGGAATATGGGTCTGGGAAGCTGGCCTGCCTCCAAACACCAAGCCTCGAGCCACCATGCACTACAGGATCCGACTGGTGGGCATGGGTGTCACCAGCAGCCTCTCTGTGAGTAGGAGGGGTTTCAGCAGAAGAGGGCTGGGATGGGGGCTAGGATCAGACATGAGGGAAGGTCCCAGATGCCCAACTCCAAGAGGGGAGGGAACAGGAGCCCTCTAGCTGTGCCACCCCTAGACCTGCCCTTCCTTGGGGATGCTGTGAGGATGGGTGTGGGAAAGCAGGGTTGGAGGGCCTGGGGTTGCCCTTGCCAGATGGATGGCTGTGGCCTCAGGCAAAGACAAAGGATTTGGACTTCGGGAGCATACTGGTAAACAGCAGGCAGTCCAGGAACCTGGTGCTCCTGAACGACGGCAACTGCACCCTCTACTACCGCCTGGTCTTGGAGCAGCACAGGCCTGAGGGCCTTGATGAACCCCTGGGTACTTGGGCCTGGAGCCAGGGAGGTGTATGTGCGGGGATGGTGGTGGTATTGCTTAAGACAGGCCAACTATACTGCAGTCTGGGTCAGGCGGAACAGAGCTGAAGGCCTGGTGCTTCCAGATTCTAGCTGAATGAGTGGCAGATGCTGTCTCATACCAAGAAGTGTGGCCCCTCTGTCCTAGTCTTGGAGGAGATCTGCTCCCTGTTTGCTGGCTTGGGGCCTGCTCTCAACCAGTGCCCTGCTGGCCCAGGGGAGGGTATCTGAGAAGGAGCAGGAGGCCAGGTGGCCTCTACCCACTGACTCCTCCCCTTGCAGCTCTGCAGCTGGACCGCTCCGAGGGGAGCATGCCACCTCACTCTCAGGACAACATCTGCCTGACTGCCTGCCCTAAGCACCGGTGTCAGTACTCCTGGACCATCAGCTACTGTCTCCTGTCTCACAGAGGTACCTGGGCCCCAGAACAGAAAGTCAGGATTTGGGAGGGCAGAAGGGAGCAGAGAGCTGTGTGAGGCAGGGCCAGGGGCACTCTGGGGGCACAACAGCTGGTGGAGTGACTGGAGAAATGCTGGACTGTGCCTGTGGAGTCTGCTTGGATGTCCATCCAGGCAGGTGTCCACACTTGTGTATATCTGAGCTGCGGATGACTTGTCCTGCAGAGTTAGGAAGACTGTTGATTTCCTCAGTCTCCCTGGGCCTCAACCTGCTCCTTCATGATGTAGAGGTGTTACCAGCCTGCCCCACGGCAGGTCGGAAGGCAGTGAGGACTCCATGGCATTGGATCCTGCCTCCCACACTTGTTAGCCATGTGGTCTTAGCAAGTTGTTTCGAAGCCCTGTGCCTCAGTTTTCTCATCTGCAAAACTGGGATAATAATGGCACAAGGGCCATGAAATGTATGTATGAAGTAACAATACATGCCACTGCATGGACCTTGAAAACATGGTGCTAAGTAAAGAAGACAGCCACAGAAACCACACATTGAATGATTCCATTTGTTTGAAACATCCAGAATAGAAAGAAACATACGGACATAAAGTAGATTAGTGGTGGCCAGGTAAAGGGGGAGGGATAGAGGGAGAATAATGGCTAATTGGTACTAGGTTACTTTGGTGGGTGATAGAAATTTTCTAAAATTAGACAGTGCTGATGGTTGTACGACTGTCTGAATAAACAAAAATCACTGAACTGTATATCTAAAGGGTAGATTTTATAGTACATAAATTATGTCTTAATAAAGCTGCTACTGAAAATTAGTTTGAAAACTAATAGTGGTGCACATTAAATGCAAGGACAGTACTTCACACATAGAAAGTGTCAGGCAAGGGTTAGCTGCTGTTGGAGATGTCCTAGAGCCTCCTAGAGTCTGAGGCATGGTCACTGCTCCAAAGCAGGTCCTGTATCCCCACTCCGGAGAGAGCTGGGAGGTGAGCCCCCTCCTCTCTCCCACTCCCACGCCCCCAGATAATAAAGTTGGCAAGCAGCAAGAGCTGTGTCATGTCTCCCTGGAGGCTGTGTACCCCTTACTCTCCATCCTGGATGGCTGCTCCATGGGCAGTGCCAAGGGCATCACCCGGAAACACCTATGGCGCCTCTTTTCCCTGGACATGCTCAACAGTTACTTGGCACGTGACCCCACCCCCTGGGAGCTCACCTACAAGGTGCCTACCAGGCACAGGTGAGCTGGGCCCCAGGGCAGGGGCAGGGTCTACTGGGGATGTTCATGGAGCTGTCTACCAACACCCCAGCATTAGGCCCTTTTCAAGAAGCTGCTTCTTACCTTTTCAGGGTGGGTCCCAAATTCTTACCTGTCCCTGGTGGGGCTTGGGGAGGCAACGATTGACTTAAGGGCTGAAGAACCATCCCACCCCTGCCCCCGAGTCCCAGATTCTCCGTTTTGCACTTAGGGGTGAACAGTACCCAAGCCAGCCACCCCAGGGAAGATCTCCACCCTATCCTCAAGCCTAGCTTTGAGTCCATTTCCTCTGCTTCACACAGCACAAGCCAGATGCCTCCTGTCTTCACCCCTTTGAGGCTTGACTTCAATTTTGGGGCAGCACCACTCAAGGCTCAACCCTCTGTGGTGCTCCTGGTGCTAAAGAACAGTGGAATGGTACCCTTGGACTGGTATGGCTGGCCTGAGGGGCTGCTGGAGGGTGGTATAGGGGTCATGGCTCTAGAGACTGGATGGTCGGAAGAACTGCCTTCTCTTGCATATGAGAGACCTGGTGTCTGTGAGGAGTGTGTCCTGATGGCTGTGGGGCCTGAGTGCAACTAGGGTCACCCAGCAGAACTCAGGACCTGTTGCTGGTGAATGTTGTCAGTGGGCACAGGGCGGAGTGGGATTGTGCGGATGGAGACTGGGCACAGCTGTCTCAGATACCCAGTGAACAAGCAGCGTCTCTGCACAGCTGCTGCATGCCAGGCCCTGTGCTTTTTCCCGCTGTCACAGCAGCCCTGTGAGAACGTTCTCTTCCAACCTGTTGTGACTGGGGCCCAGGATCAGTGGGCTAAAGACTCAGCCAAGGCTATTTATTAATGGGCAGAGCCAGGTTCAAACCCGGCTGTGTCCAGCTCCAGAGCCTCTGCATACACTTTTTAGTCAGGAAGAAGGTTGGAGGTGCTTCTGCATGTCAGGATCATCTAGGCACTGAGCTGCCTGGTACAGGGGGTGGGCCCGAAAGGGGCAAATTAAGAGCGTATGAGGGCTAGTGGTAGAGATCAGGAGGATTGCAGTTTGAAGCCAGCCTGGGCAAAATCAAAGAGAGACCCTATCTCAAAAATACCCAACACACACACACAAAAGGCTGGTGGAATGGCTCAAGTGGTACAGCACCTAGCAAGCATGAGGTCCTGAGTTTAAACTCCAGTAATGCAAAAAAAAAAAAACAAAAAATAAAAAACAAAAAGAGTGTATGGGGAAGACAGGAATGTCCACAGATGGACTTGTCCACAGTGTGGTCAAGCAAAGCTTGGTGCTGTAGGGAGAGTGGAGCCTGGCTGCACAGCAGGCTGCACTTTGCAAGTCACAGTCACAGGGGGTCAGGACTAAAGACCTGAGCCCGCCTTTTCCTGTGCGCCACTATCCTGACATTGGGGCCTAGAACCTGTGTCCAATAAACACCCTGCTTCTATGCCAAGGCTTGTTCCTGTTCTTCCTCCCTGCCTCTGCCACGCACCTGGATTTCCTAGTAACTGTCCTTTGAGGACGTCCAACTTTGCTTGGCTAATGAAAGCTTAAAAAGAAGGGATCAGGATGGAGAGAGAACCAGGGTCCAGGCTGGGAATGATGGAAGGATGAGTGCAGAGACGAAAATGGGGGCATCTGTGGTCAGAACCTGCCTGCCTGAACAAAGCGGGGCTTGGTTTGGGAACACTGAAGAAGGCGAGGCTGTACTGTCAGGTGTGCAGTGGTTACTCCCTGTGCCCTGCCCCACCCCATGGGGGAGTGAGATGGGAAGGCTGGCTCATTAAACGCCTCCTGTCTGGGAAGTAGTGGACTCTGAGTAACTGAGGACTGCTGGCCCAGAGTAACTGGGGAAGCATGGCAGGGTTGTTAGCTTGATGAGAAAGGCCCAGGGCCTGCTTTGAGCCCTGGGTTTGCCACTCACTGGGCTCTTAAGAGGGCCAACAGCCAAACTCTACAGGGCTCAGGGAACAGGGTATTTTGGTAGACGCAGGCACGCGGCTCACACTCTCTGTGGAGAGGGTCCAGGCTGTTGGAAACCTAGGCAGGAGGAAACCCAGGCACAGTGCCTGCTGGGCTGGGCCTGACTGGCAGGAAGTGCAGGAAGCCTGGCAGTGCTTTTTCCAGTTTCTTCCAGAGTTCTGAGCAGCCTGACTATGCTGTATTTGATGCGTTGTGTGTTTCCTTTCAGTTTTCTTAGAAGACTATTTTTGCAAATCCTAGCCTCTCTGCTGAACTCATAAAGAACAGACGGAGGGGTTTATTGCTGCCAGGACCAGTTGGACGGGGGAGTGTGTACTTGGCCTGGACACTGCAGCAGGCAGGATGGAGAACCGCAAGTGGGAGGGGAGTCCCCAAGGAGCAGGGAGCTAGCCATGCAGCTGCCTTCTCCCTGAGCCTTCTCCTCCTGATACCTCTGTTCTGCTCGGCCCTAGGATGTGGGATGTGTATGGCTGTGCATTTAAGGACAGAATCCCTTATAGAGGTCAAATATGCTGGTTAATGTCATTTGTTCACTTACGTGCTCTTTAGTTCATTAGCTAAGCCCTTACTGGATGCTTCCTAGGTTCAGGCTTCAGGCTGGTCTTCAGAACACAAATGTGGACTAGCCCACTCCCTGACTCCTCCACGCAGAAGGGGACTGGCAAGAGGAGCCTCCAGAAGCAGAGTGATATGTTCTACGAAGGAGTGCATAGCACTCAGAGGGCCATTCTCCCTGTTTGGTGGGGTGGGAGTAGGGACATCAGAAAGACCTCCTGTAGAAACTACAATGGAGCTAGACCCCCCTCCCTGGGGTGGAGGGGACACAGGCTTCGAGGAGCCTTCCAGAAGACAGGATATAGTGAACATGAGTGGGGCTGGAACAGTGGGAGGGAGGGAGGAAGGGCCTTGGAGAGGTGGCCAGTCACCAGGACATGCAGGGCCTAGAGTCCTCCTTTGGGGAGTTTGGACTTTTTTCCTGAGGGATGGAAGTGACATAAACTGGGGGTGGGGGCAAAGGCATGACCAGCTTTCCATGACCTCTCTCTCTGATCTCCCAGAGGAGATCAGAGGAGGATGGGTTAGCAGCTTGCAGCAAGGGGACAGTAGGAGATTGTTACTGTCCTCCAGATTACAAGGAAGGGCACCCACAGTAGAGGACAGATGGAGAAAGGGGTGGAATTACTTAGGAGGGAGACTGGTTGAGGGGAGTATGTGCAAAAAACACAATCCAGAGGACTCTGAAATAGCAAGGTCTCCAATTCTGCCACTAATCAATGTCCCCCAATAAAATAAAGAAAGCAGTTTCCCCTCCTGCAGCAAGTCAGATGCTAAGGATGATGGAAGAAAAGTAGGAGTCCTTCAGCTCCCCACATACAGACATGTGGATGCACTTAGCATCATTCTTTGCTCTTTCATCTTTTAATAATAATTGCATAATGCTACACAGAATACTTTGTAGAAAATATTTTGAGTCAGCATTCTATCAATAGCTTTTCCTACATATCAATATATATACTGCTACTTTTAACAGTTGCATATTCCACAATATAAAAGGACCATAAGTCATTAAACCACTCTTTTGCTAGAAGACTTTGTTTGTTTGTTTGTTTCTTTCTTTCTTTCTTTCTTTGTGTTACGGGGGCTTGAACTCAAGGCCTACACCTTGAGCCACTCCAGTGCCCTTGCAAACGATTTTGCCTGGATTGGCTTTGAACCATGATCCTCCTGATCTCTGCCTCCTGAGTAGCTAAGATTACAGGTGTGACAAGGGAGGGGTGAGGATAGGTAAGACACCTAAAAAACTAGCTAGCATTTGTTGCCCTTAATGCAGAGAAACTAAAGCAGATACCTTAAAGCAACTGAGGCCAATAGGAAAAGGGGACCAGGAACTAGAGAAAAGGTTAGATCAAAAAGAATTAACCTAGAAGGTAACACCCACGCACAGGAAATCAATGTGAGTCAATGCCCTGTATAGCTATCCTTATCTCAACCAGCAAAACCCCTTGTTCCTTCCTATTATTGCTTATACTCTCTCTACAACAAAATTAGAGATAAGGGCAAAATAGTTTCTGCGGGGTATTGAGGGGGGGAGCGGGAGGGGGTGGAGTGGGTGGTAAGGGAGGGGGTGGGGGCAGGGGGGAGAAATGAACCAAGCCTTGTATGCACATATGAATAATAAAAGAAAAATGAAAAAAAAAAATAAAATGATCAACACAAAAAAAAAAAGAAAAAAAAAGATTACAGGTGTGAGCCACTGGCACCTGGCTTTGTTTCTATTTTTTGAGATTTTTTTTTTTTTTTGTCACTGCAAAGAAAGTTGCTAAAAAGAAAACGTGTGTGTGTGTGTCGGGGGGTGTGCTTTGATTCCTACTGGTTAATTCACAAAAGTAGAATTTCTGGGTTAGAGGAAATGTGCATTTTTAATTCTTTTCTCAGTACTGAGGTCCAACTCAGGAGGCTCTAACACTCAAGCCACCCCCCAGCCCTGAACTTTTTATCCTAATAAACGCTACCAAATTTCTTTCCAAAACATAGCAGCAGTTCCCTTTCTTGCCATCAGCATCTGAAGATGTCTGCTTATCTACACTTACAACATTGGATGCATTTTTCACATTTCTGTTGTGAAAATTTGAGAATGACTCCTTGTGAGAGTTTTGGTTTGTGTGTTCCTGCCTCTGTGATGGGGCTTTTTCCCTCAACCCCCCACCCCCCACCCCCGGTACTGAGAGGTTGAACTCAAGGCCTTGTGCTTGCTAGGCAGGAGCTCTACCACTTGAGCCACTCATCAGCCTTTTCTGAGATAGGGTCTCACTTTATGATCAGGCCAGCCTGGACTGTGATCCTCCTATTTGTGATTCCCCATGTAGCTGGGATGACAAGCATGTACCATAGCACCCAGCCATTGATTGAGATGGGGTCTTGGGAACAATTTTTTGCCTGGGCTGGCCTTGAACCACTATTCTCCTGATCTCTGCCTCCCAAGTAGCTAGGATTACAGACTTGAGGCACTGCACCTGACCTGATGGGACTTTTTGGATGTACATTAACTGTTTTCTTTTTCTTTTCTGGATGCTCCTCTGTTCCCATCCTTGTCCCAGTTTGCTGTTAGGGCCAGTTCCATGCCATCTTGCTGAAAGGGAGGAGTTCTCCTTTCAAATTGTAACCTTGGGACCCCTTTGCACTAGTTTTGTCAGCAGGTTGGAGTGCAGTTACTACTTTCCTGCAATACAAGGGATTAAAAACACTAACTCTGCACACAGCCTAGCTCGTTTCAATAGTGCCAGCCCTGCTGGGCACCAGTTCTCCACTCTGTGCCCAAGCTGGCCTCAACACTCTCCCTTCTAGGGGCTGCTGAGTAGTGCTGCCAGTATCCCTGGGAGCCTCAACTGGCACCTTCCTAAGAGCTTATTGAAGAAGGGTTAGTGGGCAGCTCTAACAGGCCCATTTATACAAGTGACCCCTTGGTCCCTGGCAACCACAGGGTGCCTTTAGTCACCATGGCCCAGCTTTTGTTCTCTGGTTCAGGGCCCTTATGAAATGAGAATTCACACAGCCACATTTGGTCAGCCATACGTGGCCCAGCCTGCCAACTAAGGGCATGAATTTCAGGAGGCATGACAGAGACCTCCATCTATCCTGCGGGGCTCAGACGCCCCCTCTCCACTCTGACTGGCTCATCCTTTGCATGGCTTTACCCCCTTGCTTCCCATCCCCTCTCAGGGCCTTCCTGTTTCCAAGTGATCAGCAGATTGACCTGGAGCTATGGGCAGAGCAAGCAGAGTTTAACCGTACTGAGCTCCACCAAATGCGAGCGGAGGACAATAAGCTCTTCTCCATCAGCCCCAAGGCTGGGAGCCTGAGTCCTGGACAGGAGCAAATTGTGGAGTTCAAATACAGGTGCTCCTCCACCCCCTGCTCTTTACTTCTCCTCCAGGAAACCCTTCCCTGCACTTTCTCTGTGGGACTCCAGGCTATCTGATTGGCCATCTCTCTGAGAGGCCATCCCCTGCCTGCGACGTCTAATGTTCTTGCCTTAAGTCTCCCTCAGGGGCTAGCTGACTCAAAGCCACAGGTGTTTCATGTCATTTGTTCTTCCTCTCAAACCAGGCTCAGAGCTCACTCCTGGATTTGTCTTCTCCCTTCCAGCCACCTGTTCGTCGGCACTGATTGTCTCCCGGTGCTCTTCAAGGTGTCACATGGCCGGGAAATCCTGGTGAGGCCCCAGCACCCTGGTCCTGCCCTGGTCTCAGGCTGGAGAAGGACTTGCTGGACAACCAAGAGAGGGGCAGAAAATGGTGCCCCCTGGGAATCTGGGACACTGATCTCTCTGCTGGGTATGCCAGTTCTTCCCAGGAAAAGATGTTACCTATGGACTTTTTATTTCCAGCTAAATTTCATAGGTGTGACAGTGAAACTGGAGCAAAAGTATGTGCACTTCACCTCCACTAGCCACCAGTTCATCCCTGTCCCCATTGGCGATACACTGCCTCCACGGCAGGTCAGTATGGGTCTATATTCTCTGAATTGCCAAGAGGCCTATGTGTTGATCTCATCAGTCTTTGACAGGGTGATAAAGACACTGCTCTCCAGAATCACCTAAGAGGTAGGCCAGCAGGTTGAACACCCAGATTGGACAACGGGGGGGATGCTAGGCCAGAGGTTTCCTGGTTCTAAGCCCTTTTGCCAGGCTCAGTTTCCATGCAGAAGTGAAGGGTTTTTTCCCCTTCTAGTACAAGGTTTTTCACACTAGTATATTTTATATATGTTTATACCCTAATATTTACTTGTGGATACAACTGGAACAGAAGTATTATAAATGTAGAGCTGGGAATGTAGCCCAGCTGGGTTCCTTTCCCAGTACCAAAAAAAAAAAAAAAAAAAAGCAGATGTATCATTAATGTATACTACTTAGACTCCTACATGTAAAGTACATGATATTTTCTTTTTAATTTTATTCTGTTCCATTTTTTAAATGCTGGATTTGGCACAATAAATTGATTAAGACCTGCTCCCTACTAGGCCTTAGTTACAGTTCTAAGAAGGATGTCTTTCCTGTGTAGGACAGAAATGTGAAACCTTAGAAAGCTGTGGACTTTTCTTTATCGGTGGGTGAGAATTTGGTACCTTTGGTTTGAAAATATACATTGGAAATCTCTAAGAGGGGTACATAATTTTTTCCCAAATGTTTCACAGCTGTGAAATCTCCAAACATTGAAAAGCCCATTTCCGGGCTGGAGTCTCAAACCTCTCAATCAAAAAGCCAAGAAATGGGCTTCCTGGGCTTACAGGGGGTCTCACAGCCCTAAGCTCTGTTCCCTTACCTACACCACCCTCCACCCTTCTGGCTTTCCAGCAGCCTCACTCAGGCCCATGACAGAGAAGCTGGTTTAAACTATAGGGAACAAGCAGTGCCATTTGTGGAAAGGAGATAAACTGGGGAAGGAATAGATTTTAGAGTGAAGAGTTTGGGCTTGGCCAAGTTTGAAATGCCCATACCTAGAGGGCTTGTCGGTAGACATTGGAAACCAGTTTTCTTAGTTCATTCCGATTGCTACAAGTGACCATAAACTGAGGGGGCTTATAAAGAACAGAAATTTAATTCTTACAGTTCTAAAAGCTGGGACGTACAAGATGAAGGCATGGGCAGATTTGGTGTTTTATGAGGGATTGTTCTCCTGGTTCATAGGTGGCACCCTCTCACTGTGTCCTCACATGCTAGAAGAGGCGAACAAACTCTCTTGGGCTTCTTGTATGGGAGCTGTACCCTCATGACCTATTCACATCCTAGAAAAGCCACCTATTGCATTGGAGATAAGGTTTCAGGGTAGGAAGGACATTCATATTTAGCCCATGGCTCTGGAAATCAATGAGGGGGCCAGACTGGAGAAGTCAAAGCCAGCATATTCAGGAGTGAGTGCTGGTCAGGACCAAATCCAAGTGAACTCTCTTTATTCTCCCTGGCTTCAGTTTTCTCATCTTTAAAAAGATGAATTGGACCAGAAGATCTTGGGTTTCCTCCCTCCCTGCCTCCCTCCATCCCTCCCTCTCTCCCTCCTTTCTTCTGTTCCTTCCTCCCTCCCTCCCTCCCTTCCTTCCTTTTTTGCAGTCCTGGGGTTTGAACTTTATCTCCAGCCTTTTTTGCTTTAGTTATTTTTTGCACAGAGTCTTTCATTTTTACCTGAGCTAGCCTCAAACTGAGATCCTCCTACCTATGCCTCCCACATAGCTAGAATTATAGGTTTGAACCACCATACCTGACTTGTTGATTGAGATGGGAATCTTACTCACATTTTGCCTGGGCTGGCCTTAAACCTCGATCCTCCCAAGTAGATGGAATTATAAGCATGAGCCACTGTGCACATCCTCTTCCAGGACATTCTTTGGAGTCTTGAGTACCTCAGACCTTCCTCCTACCTCCTTACCTACTTTAAACAGGTCTTCCTCTAATGGCAGACATGGAGAGTAAAGACTGGAATGAGAGCCTATAAAATGATGAAGGCTCTTGATGGTGTGTATATGGATATTCCCCTAAATTCCAACAGTAGGGACATTCATACTAGGATCCCCTTATAACTTGACAAAGGTAAGCTGAGGGCAAATAAAATAAATTTCTCTTTTACAAATAAGATTGCAAATTACCCTAAAATGTCACAGGCTGAGTACAGAGTTGCCTGCTTCTTAGATGATCAAGCCATAAGGGAATCAGAGGTCTTGAGGGGAGCTTGGGGACTCTTGGGGTGACTGTAAAGATCAACCTGCCCTCCACAATGGACACAGAGTCCTTGTCTCTCTGATCTGCAGTCCTGAGCTGGTGTAAAGATCTCCTTGTTCCTGCCCCTTGCAGATTTACGAGTTATATAATGGTGGTTCGGTGCCTGTGACATATGAAGTCCAGACCAGCATTCTGTCGCAGGTTCAGGAAAAAAATTTTGACCACCCCATCTTCTGCTGCCTCAACCCCAAAGGGGAGATCCAACCAGGCACCACTGCTCGGGTCCTGTGGATCTTCTCACCTATGGAGGCCAAGACCTACACAGTGAGCAGCAGTCTCAACAATGTAGGGAGGGGGGTTGGAGCTATGGCTTCCTCCCTGGACCTTGCTCTGACCAGTGCCAACTCCACCCACTTCACTTCACAGGTGGACGTGCCTATACACATCCTGGGATGGAAGTCAGCCCTCATCTGCTTCCAGGGAGTGGGCTATGACCCTCATATCATGGGTGACACTGCCCCATTCCACAACATCTCCTCATGGGACAACAGCTCAATACATTCAAGGCTGATGGTTCCTGGACAGGTGTGGGAAAGGAAGCTGAGAAGGCCTGAGGCCTCAGAGGGTCTTAGAGCCCACAGTGGCCATCACAGAGGGCTGAGGAAGCTGAGGAGGAAATGAGATGGGGTTGAAGAGGGATGTATAGAGAGGTGAGGCCTGGAACCAGTTTTGCTGCGGCTTTAGAGGCAGCACCAGCTCCATGAGAGGCTTACCCTGCCATCTAGTGCCCACACTATTCTTGCTTGAGCCTTTCTACCTGTTGTAGTACCTTTGGTTCCAGCCTTTTCTCTGGGCATGGGACTGGGGATGTTGGAAGGTTTAGAAAGAAGGCTTCTTTTCTTCATACAAAATGGTCCCTGTCCTGAAAGTAGGTGGATTTTGCTGAAAGATACCAAGGGACAGCAAAACCACCTTTAGTTCACATGATTCTCATTGTTGGGGGCTCTAACCCATTTGTCAGCCACCCACCCATCCAACTACCCATCATGCATTTACTCCTTTATTCATCAACCCTTGCTAATCTCTGTATCCATCCATCCATCCATCCACCCTTCCATCCAGACCTCCACTGGATTCTTACTCCAGGACAAGCACTGTGGAAGCCCTGGTGACACAGAGAAGAGCCAGATAAAATCTCTTTCCTGGACATAATCAGGGTCTGGACCTAGAGAGAGTGCCCCTTCTGTGTGGTCTAAGTCTTTCCAGACATCCCTACAACACAGAGCCTATTCTGTGCCTAGATGCCAGTAACTGGTCATTATTCATTTACAACTACCCATCCAAGACTCAAATTATGTTGACTTTCTCTAAATTAGTTCTGATTCAGCCCCTTCTATGCTTACTTTAATGGATGAAGTCATAGGCTTTTGAGTGAAGTTATCTGGGGTTATTCTAGATCTGCATATGAAAGGCATTTGGAAAAGTTACCTATGCTCTATGAACCAAGATTACCACATAAGTCAAATGGGGACAACAATAGTACCTATGTGGTAGGGCCATTGTGAGGGTCAGATGCATGAAAGGCACCTGATCCAGTACCTGGCCTGTAGAAAATGCTCAGAAACTGGTACTGGTTGTAGGGTTATTATTTCTTCACCTCCCAAAGTTGCTGCTATGCTGTCTCCACCAACAGAATGTCTTCCTGTCCCAGTCTCACATCTCGCTGGGAAACATCCCTGTGCAGAGCAAGTGTAGCCGCTTGCTCTTCCTCAACAACATCTCCAAGAATGAGACAATCTTCTTCACCTGGCAGCCGAGATCCCTAGACTTTGGGGAGGTGAGAGTCCCCTGTGCCCACAAAATCAGAGCCTCCAACAGGGCTCCAGACTGATCCTGCCCTGTCCTATCTCACTCCATTCTATCCCATCCCACCCCATCCATTGCATCCCATCTTGTCCCATTCTGCCTCATCTCAACCTAACCCATCCCATCCCATCCTATCCCACGTCTTCCCATCCAATCCCATCTCTGTGAAACTCTAGAAACTCCTTTCCCCATTTGACAGGTATCTGTGAGTCCCATGGAAGGGGAACTAGCTCCTGAAGAGACCGTCCCATTTGTAGTGACCCTGAAGGCCTCAGTGCATGCCAGCTTCTACAGTGTGGACCTGATATGCAAAGTAGGGAGCAGCCACAGAGAGATGGGTGGAGGTGGAAATTCCTAGCCCTGGAGTAGGAGACCCAGATCCCCAGAGAGAGGCAGGAGCCGGCCCTTGGAAAGGTGGGGTCCACAACACAGCTCCAGGTCAAGCTGTAGCTGAGACCCTTCAGATCTGGGCCTTCTCTTACTTTGTGCTGGGCCCAGGTGTACCAACAGGAATTGATGAGGCAGTACCATAAGGAATTGCAGGAATGGAAGGATGAAAAGGAGCAGCAGGAGGTGGAGTTCACCATCACAGATAGGAAAGTGAAGGTAAGGAGGCTCAAGTGGACCTCATACACCCCAATCTCCCTGACTGGGGCGGGGACAGAGGTAGTAGTCTGAGGTGGTCCTCCATGAAACCTGGCCAGCCTTCCCTAAGAGATTACATTCCACTCACTGGACGCAGCAAAGCATCACCACAGACAGCCTTCCTAAGCCACTCCCGGTGGAGAAGGCTGGTTGACCACTCCCTGCTTCACACAGCAGGATTTTGAGTGGCTGCTGCACACTGAGCACTGGGGATGAAGGGAAAACAACACAGAGTTCACCTTCAAGGATGACATTGTGGCCTAGTAGCTTTGGGCAAGGCTCTGGAAACAGATCACCAAGGTTTGATTCTGTGACCTTTGACCTCTCATTTCCTTCAACCATAAAATGAGAGTAAAATGAATTGGGGATTTGCTTCAAGATAATCCAGAGAGAGACAGATGAGACAAGATTGGTTAAATTGTTAGAGCTGAGTGATTGGATAACGGAGGACTCTGTAGCATTTGCACATGTTTTATAAAAAATAAAAGTTGAAGAACATATACTTTTTTATTTTTTGGTGGTACTGGGGTTTAAACTCAGGGCCTTATGCTTGCTAGGCAGATGTCCTATCACTTGAGCTACTCTTCCAGCCCCACCCCAAGTATTTTTAATACAAGTGAAATATCTGCTTTGTAGCATACTTGTGAGGGTTAAATAAGTGACACTCTGAGTGACCTGGGAAAGCCACTGAACTGGGGCTGGGGTGGGACACACACACACACACATATACATATGTGTGTATACATGTGTGTGTGTGTGTGTGTATTTGTGGGCTGTTCATATTTTAGTGGGAGGATTGATCGATATTAAACACAGACAGAGCTTCCACCTTGGTTCCTCCCCAGTTTCATAGCCTGTCCATACTGGTGTTCTTGCCTCTCCATCATGTCTGTGGCCACCACAAGGAGACACTAGAAAAGCCCTGCTTCTCCTAAAGCTTCCCCCTGTGAATACAAATCCCTTCCCAGGGGCATGGAAGGTAGACTTTCCTAATCAAGTCTCCATAATGCAGGCTGCTTCCTTGTCTCAGTGAACCCAGCACCCAGGGCACAAGGACAAGCATGTTGAGGGCAGGCTGCCCATGTGTGGTGGCATTTCCTTCTCTTTGCTTCACTCGGTTTAAGCAGATTTTCCTTGTCTACAGGCAGTGCCTAGGGAAGGTACTGGAAGAGGGTGGGACTGGGATGTGGGCAAGACCAACAGAGCCTGGTCAGCAAGGGAGGTGGAAGGGGGCATGGGCTGGGACTCATCCTAAGCAGAGGTATCTTTGCTTCCACAGAAGAGAGCTTATTGTGCAGCCTGTGGGTCTGTGAGGAGGTACAAGGTGAGGCGATAAGCTCCAGGGTCTTTGGGGGATAATTTGGGAGAGTCCTTGCTTACTCCCAGAGATTCCTCCAACTCTGGTTCCATCTCCTAGGAGGAAGGGAGAAAAGTACAGTGAGTGAGGTCACATCCCAAAGGGGCTGGCTGGGGGCTGGGTAAAGGGAACCATCAGTGATGGAAATGTAGTCCCTCTGTTATCCACGCCTCCCCCTTCCCAAAGACGCTGCCTCCCATCACAAACCAGCAACCTGTTAGTCGCCCTGCCAGCTGGAACCTGCGGATCACAAAGGAGGACGAGCCCTGGCTGTGCCCCCAGCCGCCTACGCCAGGCGTGCTCTGCCTGGGCCTCACTGCCCGAGCCCATGCCACCGACTACTTTCTGGCCAACTTCTTCTCCGAGTTCCCCTGCCACTTCTTGCACCGGTGAACTCTTGGGGAGGCAGGGGTCACTTTCCTCTAGTCTCAGTCCCCTCTCTCATTCCAGAGCAGGGGCTGCCCAGACCCAACCTTTAGCAAGGGCAAGAGCAAGTGCAGGGGCAGTGGGACCACTGGGCCCAAGATGCCCTCATTACTGCTTAGGACCTCACGGGGGGAGGGGGAGACAAAGAAATCCCCAGGCAAATCACTCAGGTCTCCTGCCCTTCCTTATTCCTCCTTTCGCCAACTCAGAGCTTCTCAAGGTCCTATACTGACCTGAGGGTTGGACTTGGCTCCCTGTGTACAGTAGTGTCAGATTTGCATTAAAGCTGGGGGTGCCTCCAACACATCTGTGTCCTCATGACTGGGCAGCTACCATTATGGCTTGTGTCCTACCCCGACCCCAGTGCAATGGCTTGCCCAGGTCACTCAGAGTGTCGTGGCCTGCCCCAGGGAGCTGCCAAAGAGGAAGGCCCCAAGGGAAGAGTCCGAGGTTTCAGAGGAAGAAACTCCCACTGACAAGGAGGCTCCTGTCTCCAGGCAGATGAAGCAGCTCCTGGTTGACTGCCTCACCACCATCATAAGGTACCAGTCCACTTCTGGGCCTTCATCCTCACTGTCTCATCTCTCTAGCTCAGTCAGCCAAAGCCCTGAAGTCCCAGAACTTCCTTTCGTGGGGCTCCTGCCCCTTATTTATGTCATTCTGATCTGCTGGCTCTGCCTGTACCATATCCTGTTCACCTATAAGAATCCATGGGACTCAAAGATGTCTTCCTCCAGGGAATCTTCTCCCCACCTGGCATCTGCTGGTGCAAACAGCAGACAAGAGCTGCCCCTTAGGGAGCTCTGAAGTCAGGGCTCTCCATGGGGTTGCAAAGCTCCTCATAGGCTCATCTCGTCTTCCCTGCCACCCAGGGGCCTGCTGGAAGACAAGAACTTCCATGAGGCTGTGGGCCAAAGCCTAATGGAGCAGGTGCCTTACTTCTGCCAGTTCTGGAATGAGCAGTCAGCCAGGTTCATGGCCAAAAACAACAACCTGTACCTAATGCCAATTCAGTCACTGACCTCTAGCAGCTTGGAAGACAAGAAAGGCAAGGAGCAGAGGGAGAACAAACAGAGATTGAAGAATAAGGAAAGAGAGGAAGAGGAAGAGGAAGAGAAGGAAGAAGAGGAAGAGGAGGGCGAAGAGGAAGAGTTAGAGGAGGAGGAAGAGGAGGAGGCAGAAGAAGAGGAGGAGGCAGAAGAGGAGGAGCTGGGCAAGGAGGAGACCAAGGAGGAGGAAGAGATAGAGGAGAAGGTAGTGAAGTTCACCTGGTCAGGGACTGAGCCCACACAGACACCCGAGTCCCAGCAGTTCCTTCAGTGGCAGCAGAACCTGAAAATCCTGGCGAAGGAGGATCAAGAAAAGGATGAGAAGGAGGCCATTGGAAGGTGAGCTACCAGGCCCAAGGGAGGGTTGGGAGGATGGCTGCCTGCAGGTTCTAGGAGGCAATGGTATATGGAGGCTGGCCTCTCCCTGTGTGTGAGTCTCTTCCTAACTCAGGCAGTGACATCCTGTTGGTAGCTTAAGGCCTGGGGGAGGGTGTTTGCAGAACAGCAAAACTGAGCTTTATTTTCTTCTGTGAGAGCGAGTTGTTAACATTTACTAACACATCACTACCAGGAGCATGGTGCTAGTCTTCAAGGTCTTTTTTTTTTTTTTTTTTTTTTGCAGTACTGGGGTTTTATTTCAGGGCCTACACCTTGAGCCACTCCACCAGCTCTATTTTTGTGGTAGTTTTTCTTCAAGACAGGGTCTCCTCTCATGAACCAGGGCTGGCTTGGAAACAGGATCCTCTTGATCTCTGCCTTGTGAGTAGCTAGGATTACAGGCGTGAGCCACTGGTGCCCAGATTCAAAGTCTTTTCAATGGGAGTCTAGAGTCAGAGAAGTACCACTTCTGGCATAGTTTCCCCTGCTTGTGGCTTTATCCTTTTTGGGATTCCCTAGGTCCCACACGGTTCCTTAGGCATCCTGTCATCACTGCCTTCATACCTGTTCTGGGATGTGTGCTACATTGCCAGGGTTTGAGTCCCACTGCACTAGCACCATGTGGACAACCTGGTCTCCAGCCACACGTGAAGCATCTACAGACTTGAAACAGGATGTCCCATGGGGGATGAGGATGTTTCAATGAAAATCTGTATAGATCCTGTGGCACGCAGGAGGTGAGCAGAGAACTAGAGCGCAGGTCTGTGGCCTTGCTAATGTTGGCCCCCCGCCCGCAGGCTCCCCGCCTTCGCTAACCTGCAGGAGGCGCTGCTGGAGAACATGATCCGGAACATCTGGTGGAGGCGAGCCGCGGGGAAGTGGTGCTCACCTCCCGACCGCGCATCATCGCTCTGCCACCGCTCAGCCTGCAGAGGTGAGGGCCTGCGGCAGGGGTGGGCAGGCGCTGCCGGAAGTCTTGCCCCCCATCCCTACCTGGAGCTTCTGTTTTCCAGGACAGACCCGCTGCTGCCATTGCAGTAAGGGGAGGTACCTACTGACTCATCGCTGCTGTCCACGCCCAGGCCCTCTAATGGTTGGCCCGCTAATATTCCTCCTGGTCCTTCTTCACCGCCCTCCCAGTAAAGCATCTAGCCTTTTTTTCCTGCTATATCTACCTGAACTTTATTTTTTCCAATACGAGGAAAGGCGCACGCTCGCGCGCTCTGAGAGGGGTGGAAGGTAGAAGCTACCGGAGCAGACCGTGGTGACCCCGTGGGAAAGCCAGAACTGGAAGGATGCACTTGCCGGCTCCCCACCGCAGTTTGTGCTTGTTGCCTGACTCTGGACTTGGGCTGACCAATGGAGGGAGCTGCGGGCGGGGCATAGCTGGCCCTTGTCCCAGCATAGCGTGGTGGACAGAACCGAGGGCCAGGCTTGGTCAGCGAAACAGGTGGCCATGGGGCGGAGCACCCCTTTCCATTGCCCCATGCGTCTGCTCCGAGGCTCAGCAGCCCCATAGCCAGCCTTTTAGGATTTGCCTGGATCCCTGAACTCTGCTGAGAAGTTAGGAAGGAAGGAAAACTGAGGCACGCCGCAGAGGACTAGGAACGAGGCTCTTGGGTGCGGGTCTTGTAGAAAGCGGACCACAGAACCTACTAAGCGATTCCCACTGTGAACCAGCCCCTAGACTAGATGTTCTGCCTTCCCTAGGATATCCACATCTCTGTTCCCCTGACCCCTCCGGGCAGCCTCTGTCCTCTGGTTCCCTCCACCCAGAGGCAGGTGGGTGGAAAAGTGACATCTGGTGTTGTTCCAGAGGCGCCCAGGTCCCCAGCACCCTCCCCTCCCCCCCACCGCCAAGGCCTCGGAGGAGCTCCAGTCTCAGAGCCAGGGCGGGGGAGGGGACGCTCCGCCTTCATGAGTCAATATTTGCCCCGAGCAAACGGGCGCCCGGACAGGTGTGTGTGTGTGTGTGTGTGTGTGCGCGTGTGTGTGTGCGTGTGCGTGTGTGTGCTGTGTGTCTAAGGGCGGGGACTGAACTGGCAGTATAAGAGTGCGCTGAGCCCGGGCTCCCGCACAAGCTTCAGGGCGTGGGTTGGGGACTAAGCCAAGTGGGGTTGGGCAGGGCGGAGGGGCCGGGAAAGCCGAGTGGAGGGTGGCCAGGAAGGGAGGGGCGGGCCAGGTGTGCACCTGTGGCGGCCACCACAGCCGCCGACGTGTCAGCCACAGTTGTGCGCAGGTGAGGGCGGCAGCTAGCGGAGCGCTGTGCGGCGCTGCGCTCGCAGAAGACCAAGACCTGGAGATCATCGAGGGCCATCGCCAGGCCCCGGGCCCTCCGCTCCCGCCCCGCGACGAGCCCCTCGCACAAACCGGACCTGAGCGTTTTGTTCGTTCGGCTCGCGTGAGGCTGGGGCGGCCTCTCAGCACCAGCCCAGGGGCCCGGCCCGATCGCCACGCAGGCACCTGCCTGCCGCCGCCGCCGCCACCGCCACCGCCACCATATGGGTCTCAGAGACTATGCGCCACTCCCAGGGGAGATCCGGCTCCCATCCGGCCCCGCCTGCCATGCCCGCAGACTCTAGGCTGCCCGGCTCGATGCTGGGTCATGCGGGCTGAGCAGGTTCCGCCGGGTGGCAGAGGGAACTATGGTCGAAACAGATGGCCTTCTGGAGGTGGAAACCCCGTTTCTAGTCCGGCTCTGTCCCAGAGACTTCTGTGGCCTTGGGCAAGTCCTTTCCCAGCCTCTTCTGTTTGCACAATGAGAGGGTCGATCTGGCCTTCCGCAGGGGTAAGGGCCTCCCTTGCTTTCACGTCCTGGTTCCTGGGCTCCTGGACATACTTTAGCCCCCTGACCCTGGAAGATGGGTGCCTTTCAGGGATTAGAGACAAAAGTGTGAGGTATGGAAAACCTAGGTGCAGTGAGTTGAGAACCTTGCAGAGATATGAATCCACCCCTCTGGTTCTCTTTGGTGCTTTTGACATCCTGAGATTTCACCTCCTGCCACCTCTCTGGGTCCCTCTTTCAGTCCAAACATGTCTGAGACAGACAAATACAGGGTTCTCAGACACAGAAGCTCACCACCTTTCCCAAACTCCAAAATCTTATGTCCTCTGTGTACTCAGCTGGGGTGAGCCGGGTCTAAGTAGCCCACAGCTCTTGCAGAATCTATGGGTCATTAGCCACAACTTACACCTGGAATGGGCCCTCCCCCTTTCAGTTATCCAAAGTGCTGTGACCTGACCTTTGGGAGGGGGTCCAAGATCGCCTCAGACCCCTGATGCTTTCTCCTGCTCAGGAGCCCAGAACCAAGGGCACAAGGCCTGGGGTTAGGTTGGGCCAGAGCTGAGTCTCAGTTCTGTGACTCAAGGTATATTCCATTCCCCTTGTCTAGAAGTTATGGTCATGCTGAGCCAGCTCCAGACAGGGAGACCATTTGTAGGTTGTGGTACAGGCAGGCTCCTTTGATAACAATAGGGAACCCCAGTTTCCTCCTTACGGTGAGGAAGCATCATTGTGTGTGGGGGGGGAGGGGGAGGTGTATCCACCCCTTCCCCAGGCAGAGGTAAACCCCAGGGAAATGGGAACCAGCGTCAGAAGTAGTCCCACCATGAATGTTCCTGGAGGTGCTGGCTTGTCTCCCTCACCACCACTCACTCTGTTGCCCTCTCCTCATCACTCAGCTACCCGGAAGCCCACATAGGGTCTCTGAGTACTTGTAGAGTGGTGTTGAGATGGCTGTAATGATGTCACTCAGGTCTGGGGAGAGGATGAGTCCGTTTGGATCTGTGGGGTGGTGAGGATCAATAGGTCCCCAGCTGGGTGTGTGCAGTCTCTATCCTGGCCTCCTTGATCAGACTTCTGTCCTGGGCTTAGCCCTTCCTTCTTGTCTGTCACTGAGTGATTTTCCTGTCAGGGGCCTGGCCTGGTCTGGTGCACCTTCTCTGTGTCTTTAAGGATATCCTCTCCCCTCTCCAACAGAATTCCCTTCCTGCTAGGATTCCAGATTCTGAGGTTTCACAGCAGGGATGCCCCCAACACACACTGGAGCAGTCCTTGGGGGGAGGGTAGCAAGAAGAATATAGGGTCTGTCCTGATGATGGAGACTACTGCCCCTTCACCAGGGCTTCTTTCCGCAGACCTCCACCCCTTACCCATCCCCAAGACCCGCATTTCCTGGCCAGTACTTGAGATCTGGTCTCTCCTCCAGGTCCCTCCTCCCTTGCAGGACTGGGGTGGAGTCTGCAGGCGCCTGGCAGGCCTGCAGGTGCTGGACTGGATGGGGGTGGGGGAGAGGTGCTTAGCAGCTGGTGTGTGTGGAGGGGGGAGGGGCTGCCCCCTTCCCCATCCTGCTCCAAGCCAGAGCCTGCTTCCTGTCTTCCCTGTCAGCACCCTGGATGAGGGCAGGAACAGGTAGAGAGGTGGGGGGAGGAAAAGGGACTGAGCAGTTGAAGTGCAGCTTTGGAGGGACAGGAAAACAGCTGAGAACTGATGGGGGGGGGGAAGGATGAGAAAGAGACCTAAGAACATGGACAGAGGGACAGATAGACGGTGCAGCTCACAGCCATGTGAGAACCGCAGGGGAGTGCTCAGGGCCCAAGGAAGCTGTTGACTCCCCAAGACAGTGTGGGGAGCCCAGAGGCAGAGACAACCATAGAGAAACCAGAGAAGAGGAACAGACACACATACGCAGAGACAATGCTGCAAAGCAGGAGATGGGAAGTGTGGGAAGGTGTGGGATTAGTGATTGGGTAGCCAGAGTGGAGGCATGAGATGTGCAGAGGAGGAGGGAGCTATAAAAACCCTGGGGTACAAAAATAACTCCCAAAAGAGGATCTATAGATGGGCTGCAAATAGAGCCAGCTGGGGCTGGAGGTGGAGGTTGATGATGCCTCTGTGTTAAATCATTCTCTTCCCATCAAAGGCAAGGGACAAGGCTCGCACCATGGCTGGACACTGAAGGTGTGAGCAGTGGATGGGCATAGATCTGACTCCATCTCTCCCTGTCAAGTCACAGCTGGACAGGCCAACAGCTGGGGCAGCTGCCCTGCCTCCACCCACTCTGATGATTGGCCCAGCCTTGGAACTTCTGGACTTGGAGGCTGGCCCAGGGTCTGTGTGAGAGTGTGTGTGTGGGGGGGGCTTTAGGGGGAGCTCATACCCAGGTGCTAATCCCCAACCAGCCAAGGCAGTACCAGAGCCTTGATGACCTTCTTGGAGATTAATCCCCATGGAGACTGTAAGTAGTTCACCCCCTCACTCTGGATAGGCCAGGTGGGTGGCTGGGTGGGGCAGGCAGTAGCTGGATAGGGAGGGGAGGGAACCTTCCCCAGACATGGCAGGATCACTGCAGGCTGGCAGTGCTGGGAGGCCCCTCCAGGATCAGCTGCCAGCTTAATTTACAGGCAAAAAGATGGAGGCCCCAAGAGGGAGAATGACTAGTTAAAGGCCATATATGGAGCCAAGAAAAGCAGTGGAAGCAGAAACCAGATCACCAGCTCCACTCCCCGGCATTCTTTCCTGGAGAGCAGGGGCCTGAGCAAGAGCACAGAAAATTGGGGGACCTCCTGGCCCTGTCAAGCTGAGGTCATGAGCAGAATGGCTCCTATGGGGTAAATCCAGAAGGTGCCCTGTTCTGAGTGCCTTGCTGGCTTCCCATCCCAGAGCCATACTTGCTGCACTGGCTCCTCCCAGCCCAGACCAGCCCTGCCCCAGGGGAAGTGGAGAGAACCAGGTGACAAAGGCAGTTATAACACAACAATGGTAACAGCTACATGGCAGTTTTGTGTTGGACATGCATTTAAGTCTTCTCAACAGTACTTAAGACAATTATTCCCATTTTGCAGAGGGAAATACTGAGAAATAAAGTGTAAGGTCATCCAACTTATAAGCAGTAGAGCTAGGATTTGACCCCAGGCAGTAGAATGGCTTGGGAGCTCACTCTCCTAGCCTTTCAGTGCCTGATGATCATGACTGGGTAGCTAAGATGCTGCCATTCTGGGTGACTGTGGAGAGGGTGTGAAAGTGCACGTGGACACGCTCATATGACTCCATACTCACATGGTACCTGGCACACAGTACATCTTATTAAATATTTGAGGTATAATTGAGTGAATAAACATCTGTGCATAAATGAGTATGACTCTGGGGTATCTATTGATTCCTAGAACAGAACTGTTCCCTTTCAAAGCATGCAGGATAGCAGCCATGTGCCTGCAATTGCAGATGACTGTTTCCATTTGACTGTAAACCTGTGTATGTGTGTCATCTTCTTGCAGCCCTGTGACAGCACCGTGCCCTTGTGTCTAGGTGGTACAAGCTGCTCCCATATCCCTTATCGCTGGATGATAGCCAGTTCTCCAACTCCACAAAGGGGCAAAGAGGGGCTCTGTTTCTGTTGGGATAGGACAATAGGTTTGTGTGGGTGGGGCTTCCTCCCTTGTCTGCGGGAACCCAGCTAGTCTCAGCACTGAGCTGTCTCTGTCTCCCAGGAGACCAGGCTTGCACAGCCCCAGGGAAGCAGCTCATCTGCCTGTTCCGGACCTGGGGTGGAGCAGGGACTGGAGGAGTGGGGCTGAAAAGGAGGGGCTGGTGATGGGACCAAGGTAACTGAGGGCACCTTTCACAGAATTTGCATCTTTAGTTTCCAAAGCCCTGGATAATTTCCCTGTGAAATTAGAGGAAGAGGTGGGAGCAGGCCACCCTGAGAAGACATTGGTCACCAGCACCTGTAAGCTGCCCAGCAGTACTGAGAAATCAGGCTGTACATGGGAAGGGGCTCTGTATGGGGCAGTGTCACTTCTCTGGGGATTCTCAGGATCTTTATTGGGATGAAGACCTGAGCGGATTGGATTTGAGGATTTCTTTGTAGGGTCTACATGTCCCCATATGGGATGGGGGTCTGGGTAGGATCTGAGAGTATCACTGAGGGAACTAGGCTGGAGTCCTAGGGTTTCTCTGTGGGCTCTTACAGGTCTGTATGGGATGGGTGTTTTGGTAGAACTAGGTGATGGGGCAGGTTAGGGGTGGGAATGAAGTCCTGAGATTTCTTGGTGGGATCCAAAGTTTTCTATATGAGATGAAGAGCTGGATAGGGTGAGATTGGGGATTCTCTGAGGGTGATGAGTTCCCTATGCGACCTTGAGGTGTCTTTGAAGTATAGATTTGAGGATGCTGTGTTTTTCCTGCCTAATTTCCCACTCCATGCTCAAAGGCAGAGTCTATGGGTGTGGAGGAGGTAGAGGTGACAGTGCTGAGCTGGCAAACAAAGCCACCTGGGCATCTATCCTTCAGGAAGCTCTGAGTGCAACTGATCTGGGAAAACAAACAGGAACAGCTGCTGGGGATAGGAGGGGGCACAAGTGGGGGAGAGACTGTGGAGCCAGCCGGCTGAGAAAGGAGGACAATGTGAGGGTCCACAGAATAGAAGAGGACTAACATGTCGGAGCCCCATCTGGCACACCTGGTGGGGCAGCCTGAGAGCCCCTTCCTGGCCTCTTCCTTCTGGGCCAATGACTATAGGTGGTGGTGGTGGGTGTGCCCATTTCAGACAACTAGAATTAAAAGCCTTGGGTGGGATGGTGGGATTTACATACCATTTTCCTGATGAGGAAATCGAGATACATAGAGACTGGCTGATGCCAAGATTAGAACTTCGGACTAGAGGGTGGGGGGCTTCTCACACATGTCCTCACCTCAAATCCCAGGCAACAGCCTAATTATAACCTGGATCTCATCTGCATGACCTTCCCCCTTCCCCAAATCCTACATGGATCGCACAAGCCGCCCCCCCCCCACTACTTGGTGTAGTGTAGTAGTGTAGCACACTTCTCAGGGGCATACCTAGACCCCAGCCCCAGTTGCATGCAAATACAGTGACAACGCATTGCCTGACGCACTCACCGGGGCTCCCGCGGCCCCTCCCTACTCCAACCTCCCACCCAACTCCCTTGTCTTCCCCTCCTCCCTCCTCCTGCTGGCTGGTACCTGCTTTCCGGCCAGAGGGGCATGTCTGAGCCCTCTGGTGGTCACTTCTAGAATTGTAGGATGGAGACGGAGAAGAGAGAAAGAAAAGGTGAGATCTAATTGCTCAGACCTCACTCCTGCCATAGCCCGCATTTGTGAAACAGAGTAGGGGCAAGGACACCAAGGGTCCAGGGCTGGCTCTTGCCTCACTCTGTAGTTTGGATCTCCCCTTGTGGTTTGGGAAAATTATGCCCCATTTGTGTTTATCTAGACCCCTCTAGGGTAGGGAGTCAGGGAACTGTGTGGTTCTAACCCCACCCCCAATTAAAGCTAGTGGTGTTGTCCCATTTCTGATCCATATCCTTCTAACTTGGACTCTATCTCCATGCCCAGTTCTAGGGTCCTTGCCTTCATGAAAGTAAGCGCCAACAGCAATTTCTCACCAGTGAAAAGGTAGACGCTGCCTGCCCCCAGCACCTGTTCCCAACAACCCGAACTTCAGGAGTCTGAGTTTAGTAGAATGGGTAAACCACCTCCTCCCCCCTCCACTGGAAATTTTTTCTACACCCTTCCCCATGGCCATTTGACGCACATCTGACCATCTTGTTCATTTATTCAAGAAGTTTTATTGCATGCCTACCGTGTGTTCAGCACTGTGACAGGTTTGAGGGCAACAACTGTGAACAAGGCAGGCACAGTTCCTGCCCCTTTGCATGGAGCTTACAGTCACCCATGAACATAAGATGAAACAAGTATCTTTACAGAGTAATAAACACTAGAGAGAAAACAGGGTGACAGGATAGGTGGCAAGAGTGCCGGGAACAGTATCACCAGGAGATGACAAAGGATCTAGCAATAGCAAGATCTTGTGCCTAAGACATTCCAGGGAATGGGGAAAGCAAGTGCAAAAACACTAAGGTGGAAATGAGCTTAGTAGGTTGGGGAAAAGGCTAGAAGACAGTGTGGCTACACTTGCAGGAGCTGAGGTAGTACACCAAGCCTGTGAGCCCTTTTTGTCACAGGAGTTAAAATGGTAGTGGCTGAGCCCTGGCTTTGGATTCAAAAAAGCCTGGGCTCTATTGTTGCTCTGAAGCTGACCATCTATGTGAGTTTGGACAAGACCTTGCACCTCCATAAGCCTCAAGTTCTGCATCTGCACATGGGTTGCTGTGAGGCTAAAGGAATCACCTGGCTCACAGGAGAAAAAAAAATTACTAGTTCCCTTCCCACTCACCCCTCACATGTCTCCTGAAGGAGCACTCACAATTTTGCAGCAAGTCTTTATGTCCCCTTGACAGCTACAGTGGTGAGAAAATTCTGCAGTGGGTGGTGAGGCAATCTCCTTCTTGGAGCTACCCCTTGGGGCTCTAAGTCTTTTCTTGGTCTTCCTGTCCTCCTCCCTCCCCCCCCCACTGCACATGGCGCTGGGGCTGTGGGGTAAAAGACTAAGACCTTCAGTCTAACAGAAGCCCAGTTTCACCTATCAACTGAGTCACTTTTCATCTGTGACCCCTCACCATGTCCTGAATCCCTTCTGGGCCTCCGCTTCTTCCTCTGAGAAATGCAGCACAGTGGCAGCGCCCTCTTCACCAGGTTGGCGTTCGTATTGAGCTGAGACCATCAGTGGGAAAGCCTAAGCAAAGACCCTGACTTGAACTCAGCCCTCAGTAGTAACTGCTAGCTCTCCTGCCGAGATCAGGACACTAACCCCATTCGGTGGAACTCTGGGAAGACCAGGCATGGGTCCGGGTGAGGCGGTTGGCGTGTTGTTCCCACCTGGCAGAGTCAGTCCCTGTCTTGGTTACTATCGTACCTAAATGCGTAGGAAACCTGCGCGCTCGCTCCCGCGGTTCTTCTTTCTGGCACTTCCTTAGCGCCACCTTGCGGCACGGCCTGGCCACGGCCTGGTCTGGGCCCCGCGACGCGGGGTCTAGAAAGCAGCGCTTGGGCAGAAACAGGATCGCAATGGCGACGGACCTGTGTTCTAGATCGGTGGCCACAGAAGAGCACTGAGAGGCTTGAGAAGAGTCGTTTGCACAGGGCCTTCTCCACCTCCGCCCTAGTCACCTAAAACAGGCTTCTACCTAGGGCAGAAGAAAAGGTGTTTAGACCATCGGAGGAACTTCCGCGCCATGTCAGGAACTCGAGGTCTCAGCAAGGGGCTTCAGGAAGGTCTGAAACCTTCATGCCTGAGGATCTGGGCGAGGCAGGACGCTTTCTGCCCCGAGGCTGGGTGGCTCAGGCCCGAAAGAAAGAAAGCGCGGAGTCAGCCTGGGCTTCGCAGGCGTGCCATGTGCGCCTCAGCACTTTCTGTTGTAATCCCCGCGGGCTGAGGCCAGACAGGCGGCTTCGAGAAAGGCCGTTGCTCCCCATGGGAGACCAGGGCGGATCGAAGCCGGCCTGCTGATTCAGCTGTCCCCCAGCCCAGCGGGAGAGGGAGCCGGACGGGGTGGGGGTAGGGGGCTAGCCTGCGTATAAAGCCCCGAACGCCGGCTCGCGCGCAGCCTCTCCACTTCCCTCGTGTGCTGCGCTCACCCACCCGGTGAATACCTGGTGCTGGGGTCGGGGAGGGCGAGATGAGGGAAAGCCCCTGGCAGCGGGTGTCCAGAGCCAGGCTCGGTCCAGCCCTTGGGTCCTTCACACCCTGCTGGGTTTGGGCAGGATTTGGCTAGGCAGGTAGCTCTCGAGAGCTGAAAGCGTGGTCCTGCCCTTCCTGTCCGCAGCAGAATGAGCAGCGCCCCAGCGCCCGGCCCGGCGCCCGCCAGTCTCACGCTTTGGGACGAGGAGGACTTCCAGGGTCGTTGCTGCCGGCTGCTGAGCGACTGCGCTAACGTCAGCGAGCGCGGAGGCCTGCGTAGGGTGCGCTCTGTCAAGGTGGAAAACGGCGCGTGAGTGATTCTCCGGCTACAGCTAGACTGGTTGGGGTGGAGGGTTGGGGTGCTGGGCTTTCCACTCCCACCCCTGCGAGCAAGGTTAGAGCTTGGGACCTCGTCTTCCAACCCTGTAAATCCGGAGAGAGACTCACCAACATCGTCACAAGACAAATCATGGGAAAAAGTGTGTTCTCATAGGAGCTGAAACAAAGGCGAGAAGCAACCCATGGGTCCATCCTGAACCCCAAAGGATTTCTTGTGTAGTTATGTCATTCCCAAACTTTTTCTCTGTCCAGTTACGTGGCTCTGCGCTTCGTTTAACGAAAAAAAAAAAAACAGTCCCTCCCCTGGCCCCACCCTAGTCTTTCAGAGTCCACCTTAGAGCTCTTGGGAAAGCCGAGGCCCTGTAGATTTAGCGGGCTGGGGACTGGATGCCTCCTTGTGTAGGCGCCCAAATCCGTGAGGTAAAGAGTACTCGATCCTGTGATCTTTCTAACCTGAAAAACTAACCTGGGGTCGCTGAATGGGAAGCCTGGGCTCCTGAAGCGCCAGCTAACAGCAGGCTTGGAATCTTCAGCCTCAAGAAGGCTGAATTGCCTAGCGATGGTTGTGTCAGGGGAAGGGGTTGGGATTGCAGAGACTGGGCTTTTTTGGTCTTTTCAATCACAGCAAGCAAGGGGAAAGGAGAGGAAGGAGTGAGGCTGAGCAGCTGCCTCCCAGCTCCCCTTCTCCTTTTCCAGATGGGTGGCCTTTGAGTACCCCGACTTCCAGGGACAGCAGTTCATTCTGGAAAAAGGAGACTATCCTCGATGGAGCGCCTGGAGTGGTAGCAGCGGTCACAATAGCAACCAGCTGCTCTCCTTCCGGCCAGTACTCTGCGCTGTGAGCACAGCCCACTTCCCTTCCTCCCCAGCCTCCTAGCCCCAGGCCCCCACCCTACCTGGACAACCTGGAAGGGTCATCACTCCTGCTCTGGAGGGGGGATGTAAACAAACTTAGATGGGTGGTATGGCATTACTTCCCAGAACCATAGGGGTCTCTGAAAATTGGGACTGTGGGAGAAGGCCAGGCCCCCAGGAGTCAGCACCACGGACAGCGCCAAGACCAGCCAGTCTGGTGTGCCTGCTCTATGAGCATCCACATTCAGTTCATCATTGGTGTAAGGGCCTCTGTCATCACACAGAAGGGTTAACATGGAAGATGAGACTAGAACTGAATCCAGGGATCAAGTTGAGAAGAGGGTCAGACTCAGTATGACCGAGTGTGTCCAAGTGTTGGGAAGATGTGTGGGTGAGAATCAAACACACTGGAGAGGAAGACCTTACTTTCCATTTGTGCTCACTTAGATAACTGGTGAGTCCCTGGGTCTGGGGACAAAGGGTACAGGCCCCAGCCCAGCCCAGTTTTTCTGTTCCAAGAGGGTGGGGTACCCTGCAGGGGAAGGGCCCTGATGCTAAGGAAGCCAAGAAACAACCAATATTGTGATCCCCTGACCTGTCTGTTGTGAGTCTGCCTCCAGTACCCCTTAACTGGGCCCTACCCTCTGAGAGACTGTGCCCCAGACAGTCAATAAGCCTTGGCTAATAGGCCATACTTCTTTCAGAACATTTGCGTTTTCTTCTGAAAAACAGGCCCATATTGCAAGATGCCCTTTAGTCATGACTTGAAAGGGTCTCTGGGAACCCTCCAATCTCTCACCACATCAACTCAAAACTATGGAAGGGGCCAGGTGGGGCCTCTGAACATCCCAGCTCTACAAATTGTCAGAGAGCTGATGGCATGATCCCTGGGAGGGGTTGTGGGTTCTAAAAGGCTGCACACACAACTTGCGCTGGGCAGGGGATGGAGGAGTGGGGTGGAGGAGTCCATAACACCCCTTTGAAGGGTCTGACCTTTACCCCCACCCCAATTCCTATGCCTCAGAACCACAGTGATAGCCGTGTGACATTATTTGAGGGGGAAAACTTCCGAGGCTGCAAGTTTGAACTCAGTGATGACTACCCGTCTCTGCCTTCCATGGGCTGGACCAGCAAGGATGTGGGTTCCATCAAAGTCAGCTCTGGAGCGTGAGTCTTGGGACTGGATCAGGGCAGATGGGAAGAACAGGGAGACAAAGTGAACTAAGGAGGAGGTGGGAAAAGTGAGGGGACTGCTAAGAGACATGGGAGAGAGAAATTGGGGACTTGGAGGCAAGGGGATTTGAGAGGATGAGAAAGAAGGAGAAGTACCCAGAAGCAGGGGTGAGGGGAGTGGCCCAAATGATGTGAGTAAATGCAAAAATGATAAAAATATACAAAAAAAAAATAAAGCTGATCCCTAAGGCAAAAAAAAAAAAAAAAAAGAGGAGGAGGTAATGGAGAATGGGTACCAGAGGAATGCTTCAGGGATACAAGGAGGGATTGAAAACCTGGGTGAGGAAGCAATGGAGGGTGGGAATAGGAGACAGGCTGAGGCAGGAACACCCAGAGCAATAGGAAAAGATCCAGACAGGGAAAGTTGAAGCAACAGTTTTGGAGCTGTGGGTTGGGAGCTGAGAAGTGGGACTACTCACCATCGTTTCCTCTCTGGCCTAGGTGGGTAGCCTACCAATACCCAGGCTACCGAGGCTACCAGTATGTATTGGAGCAGGACCGACATAGTGGAGAGTTCCGTACCTACAGCGAGTTTGGCACGCAAGCCCACAGTGGACAGCTGCAGTCCATTCGGAGAGTCCAGCATTAGGTTCCACAGTCCCAGTCACCTACCCTAAGGACCCTCAATAAAAGCTCCTGAACCTGCCTGCACCTCTTACCTCCTTCTTGGTGTCTCACTTTGTGTGTGGTGGGTGTGTGCATGGGAGCCCATGTGTGTGCATGTTTTGTGATGCCAGGGATGGAACCCAGGGCCTTTAGTATACTAGGCAAACACTCTGCCCCTAAGCTATTCTCCCAACCCTGGTGTTTTGCTTTGTGATCTCCATTCTCATCCTCCACACCTGAGGGTTGCTCCCTGCCAACCTGGCCCTCCCATCAAGCTCCAAGACACTTGTCTATCAAGCATTACTAGCTTAGGATGGATGTGGGTAGGGTGTAGTGGGACTAAGAGGAAACAGCTGGTAAGAATCATGGGGGATCCTGTTAAGTACAATCAGTCTCACACACAACATAGGCTCACAACATAGACCAGAGACATAGATGGCAAACCCAGATGGCACATTTGCCATCCTCTGGATGGGTGGACACTCCCGCCCCCAGTAGGACTCATAGCTGAATTTCAACCTTCACACACATTTGGGCCAGCTACCACCAGGCTGGGCAGCATTTCATTAACCCTGTTCAGAAGCTCTGTCAAATTCCTCTCTGGCCTGCAGACCAACTTCAGCCTTTTAACTTCACCCTAGTTCTCCACCCAGCCAGAGAAGCCTGTCAGTCTCTAAATAGTCCACTTTCCTCCATTCCTGGGAGGGCAATCACTGGGAGGTCCCATTGCCTCTCAGACTCTTCTGAGGGGGGAGAAGTCTCTGAAGCAAACCACCAGACCCTTTGAGTAATAACAGTTTCTTCCATGACAGTCAACTTCAGCATTTACATACTCTTCCTTTCAGCTGCTCTGACCTACCCCCTCTTCATTCTTCCTCTCCCTCTCTACCCTTCAGAGGACAAGTGAGCTACAGAAGCTACCCCTTAGCCACTGACTGACATATGAGCCTGGGTTCTGGGACATGTGGCCAGGACATGTGTTCTGGGACATGGGAGGGGTGTTCCAAATCATTGTCTTAGCCCAGGCCAGGCAGGTTGATGTTGAAGAATAGTCAGACTTGGACTTGGGTAGTCCCCAAGGGTCCAGCCATGCAAAATGAGGCAGCCACCCCTTTGGGAAAAGCCCAGACCACAAGTCAAAACATCTGGGACCCAATCATACAGCATCCTGAACCTCAAACCCCCACTTGTAAAATGGAGCTGTTGAGCCTTTTTTTGTGTGTCAAGGGATTGTTGGAAGATTCAGTAAAAAGTCCTTCAAAATGTTGGTGATACAGAAGAGCGTTGGGGCATTCAATGTAGGGCTGTCCTTCCCCCGACTCACCCTCCATGGGTCTTGGGTTGGGTCAGGAGACCAAAGGACAGCTCTAGGTAGGGTGTGAATTCTGCTTAATTCTTGAATAGGCTCTAGAGTTCATGGCCCTGGCTGCATTTGATCTTCCTAATATGCTTCATTCTTCATCTATTTCACTAATGAAGAAACTGGGGCTTAATGATGTTACCCAGTTAAATGGTGACAAAGACAGGATTTGAGCACAGGTTCCCTGGTGTTCCTCACAGTTCCTTGAGCTGTGGCTAAAAGCCTCACGCTTCAGTAGAGCCCCAAACATCTGTGGGCTCCAGAAAAGCCTGGGATTCCTGGCTAGTTACCTCTTTCCAGTATGGTAATGTTAACAAAAGCTAAATGTATAGATCATGTTCTAAGCACTTTACATGTGTTATCTTATGTAAATCAAAAAATTCTATATATAGGTATTTAACCCTTCATTTTTCAGATAAGGAAACTAAAGAACAATGAAGAGTTGTATGACTTTCTCAGAGTCATATAAGTAGGAACCAGGTGAACCCCCAAACCTAGACAAACTGGCTTCAGAGCCAGATCCACACTGCCTGCTTCTGGGAGTAGGCAATGGACAAAGTGGCAGCTAGTATCTGCTCTTGCTGAGCTGCCCTCCCTCCAGGAGGGGCTGTGGTTGCTAGATGAGTCAACAAAATGGCTTCAGGAGCTGGCAGTGGGAACTTGAACAGGGTTTCTGGGTCTCAGATTCCCCCTCTGTACTATAAAGGGTTGAAAGAGATAATATTTGTAGAAGCTTTGCCAGCATGGATCTTTTGGGTTTTCCTGGACCCAGAGGTCAGGCTCTGCTCCCCACGTTCATCATCCATCTGCAGCTAAGGAGTGGAGGTCAAAGAGGCCAGTCTGACAGGAGTGTTTTTCACCTTCAGGTTCTCCTACCATTCCAGGCAGGCTGACAGTCTGTGGACTCCTGAGGAACCACTGGTACCCAGCCAGGTAGGAGGGGGATAGAAATTGCCAAGGACTTTCTCATTGGCTTCCACCCTGGCTGCACTGTTCACAGATGGGGTAGAGGGAGTGGAGTGGGGGAGACCTCCGCACAAACTTTTGTCAGCACCCCACTCCTTTGGCATCCTGGTCAAGCTGACCACAAAGTCCAACTCAGAACCAGGATGTCTGGGAAGAACCTCATCCCCTCTGAACATCTCTGCTTTCTGCCTTAGCTTCCCCCTGACAGCATTAAGTGAGTGAACCTCCTTCTCCTTCTCCATCTCCAGCTCTGATCTTCTTCTTGTTTTCCATTAAGGGTGGGTGGAGGAAGCAATCAGAGCACAGAAGGATACGCATTCTGAGTTTGGGCTCCTGCAACATCCAACCTCTGTCTTTGCTCACACCAGATTCCATGACTGAATCCTGAAGCCCTTATCCCTGTCCCTGTAGGATCATCTGGGATCCTGGGATTCCCCCCCCCCCCGCACACCCCATGTACTCCCACAGACACTGCCTCTCATGTGCCTCTCTGGTTCGTTTGTACCCTTCACCAGCAAAGATGAACACTCCAGCAGTTACAGTGAGTGAGGCTAGACAGGAGGCCCTGTGAAACCCAGGAGTAGGACTTTGCAGCTAACTTCAAACTGCTACCCCAAGCCCAGGGACCCTGAAGGAGACCTGCCCACTCCCAGGCCTCCTCAGCCTTGAGTTCAAGTAGTAAGAGAGGGTTAGAAAATACCAATTCCAGTGGCTGCACAGCCTCGGAAGGTACCCTCCTGATCCAGGGCCCCATCCTCAGCTTGCTTTCCTCCTTAGTCAGTCTCTCAGAGCCAAGAAGTCCATAGGTACCCAAGGACCCTAGTCTACCTGGGAGCCACGTCAGCCTCTTTGCCTGAGTTAGAAAAAGCCATCCACAGTACATAACGCTATCTTAACACCGGTAACTCTACAGCCTGGTTCAGGGATATTTAGCATGGGAGTGGTTGTGAGGGTGGAGGGCTGTCTGGGGTGACAGGCGATGGGGAAGAATGAGAGAAACTGTTGTAGGGGGAAGCAGAAGAAGGAATCGGGAGTCTACCAGCCTCTCTCAGGGCCATTGGAAACTGACAGTAAGCCTAGCCACAACCAACTTGTAGGAACTGAATGAATGAGGAAAGGAGGGGAGGAAGAGGAGACTGTAGGAGATGGGACTAGGAGAGAAACGTTGCAGACCGCAAGAAGAGACCTAGAAAGAAGGCGGAGAAGGGAAACGAGGGAGCAACTCACAAGAAGTTGCCGGGGGGTGATGCCCCTGGGCCTAGCCCGAGGCTTGGGGGCCGTGGGAAGACAGGAAACCGATGAAAGCACGGAGAGACAGGGAAGGGGATTGGGTCTCTAGGGAAGAGCAGAGAGTGAGAGAAGAGGAGGGAGAAGGCTGGGAGGGTGGGCAGAGATAAAGGGAGCAACGGCTGCAGGGCCGGGAGCGCAGCGACAGGCGAGAGGGAGGGAAGCGGAAATTTAAAAGTGAAGATGAAGATAACGCAGCCTGGAGACGAGAACCCGGGTGTGGGTAGGGGGAGGAGAAGGGAGGAGAGTGAGCAGTGAAAGGGGCGGGAGCCGGTTGGAAGGGGAGCTCTGAGAAGGGGGCTGTACCCTCAGGGGTCCGAAGTGGGACAGGTACCCCCTCCTCATCACTGTTTGCAGAGAGTCGGGGAGGTGGGAAAGAAACGCACTCCTGGCCCCCGTCAGAGAACCGGGCTAGGGCCCATCCCCCGCGCGTCTCCCGGGCTGCGGGGCGCGGGGGGCTGCCGGGTGCGCTTGGCTGAGGCGCAGCGCGTTGGAGACTTTATTGCGATGGGAAGATAAGAGGGGCGGGGGCGGGGTCCGGGGGGCCGAGGCGGCCGCACTTTAATTAAAACGGAAATTGCGGCCCCTGCCCGCGCGGGGGCCGGAGGGTTCCAAGCGGCCCGGTAGCTGGGAGCATAGCTCCAGGACTCCCCCATCCCCCGCCACACCCTGCCTGCCCCCTCCCGCCAGGCCCTGCTGGACCCGGCGCCGTCTTCTCCTCCCTGTCACCCGCGGTCGCCTCGGGCGGGGATCGGTGCCCCGAAGCGCAAAGCCTGACGCGCCCCCCTCCCTGTCCCCCCCCACCCCCATCTCCCACCACCCAGTCCCCGGCAGCGATGAGACAGAGCGGCGCCTCCCAGCCCCTGCTGATCAACATGTACCTGCCAGGTACCAGGGACCAGCCGGGGACTGGAGGCACCAGGACCCTGGGCGGGAAGTCTAGGCTAGGGCGTGGGGAAGGAGTTGTTGCGGTCCAAAGGAAGGGAATGCGATCCAGAGACTCAGATTGGGGGTGGGGGCCGCTGGATGCAATTTAGCGCGTGCAGGGAACCTGAAAGGCAGATGGAGAGCTCTGTAGTTCACTCTGGGGTCTAGAGGGCTCGAAGTGAGCAGATTGGGAGGCTGGGAGGCTGAGGGCGGAGGTTTCAAGGACCCAAAAGAGCTTGGTAGGCGAGCAGGAATCTTCAGCTTGGTGGACTCTGCTCCATCCCCGCGAGGAGGTTGTAGTCGGCCGCCGGGCGATGCCCCTGCGCCCTCTCAGCTCCTCACCTTGGTGTTTGAGCATTCGCACCGGCCAGGCCCTCCAAGCCCCTTCTTCTCTTTGAGGGGCTCTGCTCGCTCAGGCTCGGCTGGCACAATCCTCGCTTGGCTTTATAAGGCTCAAGCCGGCCCCTTCAGAAAACGGATTTCCTTTTTCCTGGACGCGTTTCCTGACTTGGGCGCTACGGAGGGGCTCCACGCAGCACGCGCCGCTGCCGGGCTTCGAGGGGAGGAGCTGGGTGGCCGGGTCCCCCAGAACACAGCAGCCCCCTCGAGACTTGGCCCAGGGGCCCTTCGGTCAAGCCCACAACTTCCGCCCCTGTCTGCCTGACTGTTTTCTTCTGCTGCTGCAGATCCCGTCGGAGACGGTCTCTTCAAGGAAGGAAAGAACCCGAGCTGGGGGCCTCTGAGCCCCGCAGTGCAGAAAGGTAAGCTGGCCATACACTGCGCTGGTGGAAGCGAGGGCAGTAGGTGGGGAGCCAGGGAACGGATTCCAAAAGAATGGACACTTTCATGATTTTTTTTTTGTGGGACTGGGGTTTTGAACTCAGTGCTTCCCGCTTGCAAAGCAGGTGCTCTACCACTTAAGCCACACCTCCACTCCTAGGATGGACACTATCGCTACCAGACAGAGCGATGTGCACTTTGGGTTCTGGAAAGCTCAGGTCGTGGCCTGATTGCGGGGAGGCCTTGGGGAGACATTTATTTGGTCTTTGGATCTTTGGATCCCCCGGCTGGACTTGCAGGCCAAGGAAGGGGAGGATCCTGGCTTTTCTGCTGCATGTGGTTTTCCGATCTTTGGGGCCAGGGCTCAAGCGATTAGCGTCCATTCCCTACCAGCAGCAGCAGCCTAACATTGCAGCACAGTAGGGCAGGAGGACCTGGCCACTCCTGGCTGCCCAAACCCTTGCTGCAGGTGCTTCCTGCTTCACCTACCTGAGCCCACTGACTGACACCGGTGCCTTTGCCTGCCAAGTCTTGGGCGATTGTAGTTGATTCTCAGGTTTGCCACCTGGGCTTGGTGGGCCACTAAATTACCCTATTGTCAGTAGGCTCCAAGCAGCTCCTACCCCAGTGGGTACCCTAGATGTCACCAAGGTACAGAAGCCACAAAAACAAGGTTGGCAACTGCTTTCTCCAGAAGGAAGGGAACATCACACCCAGGCTCCTTATGTCATGCCAGGTGCATGTCTCAGCCCAAACCTTTCTTTGCTTCTGGCCCTAAAGCTCAGTGCTAGAGACCTGGAGGCCGGCAGCTCCACGCTTGGCTGGCTTGAAGGGACAGGGGTTGAACTTGTGGGGAAGGAAACTTCTGGGTTCTGAGTGAGTGGCTAATTTAAAAGGGGCTTCCTCACCAGACTCCATTTGAGGCAATGATCACACAGGCTCGAGAAAAATCCGTTTTAGTCTAAAAGAGAGTGGGGATAATTGCATCAAGACTTTTCTCTGCTTAGGCTCCAAGACCACAGGATTCTGGGACCCCCACTCCCTCCCTACCCACATATCTGGGGGAAGCCTTCTTGCACCTCTAGCCACTTTGAAATCCAGAGGGAGAATGTGGCCAAGAAGGAGAGGAGGTCAAGAGCCAAGCACACCCCATCCCAATCCTACCTCCCTCCTCAGAGCTGTCCGTCAGGCCCCAGGGAATCCCGCTTGTTCAGAACAAAGAAGACGAGTGAGCAGCATCAGCCCAGAGGTCTGCGCACCTGAAGGCAGCAAGGATGGGGCGCCTCTGAAAATCTGACCCTCCTCTCATATATACAGGGTTTCTGTCCTCCTCCCTCCCTGACAGGGTTTCGCAAGGAACCGTGCTGCCACCTCACCTCAGGTGCCACCTGTTTAATTGTATACCGTTGGGTGCCAGGGAATGGCTGGGCCTGGAACAGCAGAGACCGGAGTCACCCTCTTGCACACCTGCCCTTTCCTTTTTGGAAACGGCAGGTGGTCCAGTTAAATCCGGACAGCTCAACCTCCACTGGGCTGTTCTGTGCAGTTGTGCAGGCTCTGCCCTAGAAAAGGGCGACTCCACGGAGGAGGGCAGTAAGAGTTGATATCTGGCTCTTACCTTGGAACCCAGGGCCCTGGCTCACCGCTGCCTCCCCGATGGAGGAGACGATTGCCCCCCCGCCCCCCGCCATTCCCACAAAACAATATGCCCTAGGGGCTATGTCTTCCTAAGTGGGAGCTGTGCGTCCATGGTGTAAAAGCGCGGTAACGGCTAGAGACCGGTCTGCTGATCAGCCCCTCCTTGATCAAGCGCTCCGGTTACTCAGCCGGACAGGGGGTTGGATTGTTTTCCCCCTCACCTTTTCCCCCAGTTCCAGCCTTCCCTGTGCGGCCTGTGGCTGACCGTCCCTTTTCCCACAGGCAGCGGACAGATCCAGCTGTGGCAGTTTCTGCTAGAGCTACTGGCCGACCGCGCGAACGCCGGCTGCATCGCGTGGGAAGGCGGCCACGGCGAGTTCAAGCTCACGGACCCGGACGAGGTGGCGCGGCGCTGGGGCGAGCGCAAGAGTAAGCCCAACATGAACTATGACAAGCTGAGCCGCGCACTGCGCTACTACTACGACAAAAACATCATGAGCAAGGTGCACGGCAAGCGCTACGCCTACCGCTTCGACTTCCAGGGCCTGGCGCAGGCCTGCCAGCCGCCCCCCGCGCACGCCCACGCCGCCGCCGCCGCCGCCGCCGCCGCCGCCGCCGCCGCCCAGGACGGCGCGCTCTACAAGCTGCCCGCGGGCCTCGCCCCGCTGCCCTTCCCCGGCCTCTCCAAACTCAACCTCATGGCCGCCTCCGCCGGCGTCGCGCCCGCCGGCTTCTCCTACTGGCCTGGCCCGAACCCCGCTGCCACCGCCGCCGCCGCCACCGCCGCACTCTACCCCAGCCCCGGCTTACAGCCCCCGCCCGGGCCCTTCGGTGCGGTGGCCGCCGCCTCGCACTTGGGGGGCCATTACCACTAGACAGGGCGGCCAGGTGCCGCGCGACCGCTCCCACACGCCTTGCCCAGCTCCATCCACATCCCGGGGAGGGGGCCGGGGCTTCCCCCGACGTAACTTCACCCAGATTTCACTCCGCCTGCCGCGCCCAGCCCCGAGAGAAGGGATCAGAAGCTTCCTCCGTCTCCCTTACTTGCCCCCATCTCACCCCTAACCGTCGCCCCTCCAGGAAAGACAACTGTATCCCTCTAATTTTTCTCTTCTAGGTCTCCAGATCCTATAAGGGGCTTCTTGAACCTCCTCTGCCCCCTCTCCTCCATCTGCACCTTTAACTCCTACAAGCCCCCTCCATTAAGACCCCATATTTGTCAGTTCACTTTTTCTCTGCCCCCACGGACCTGTCCCAAATTCCAGCACCTGGAGGCTTTTCATATTCCTTCACCTTCCTGGGACCTTCCCGTCCCCACACTCTGGTCCAGCGTGTTTCTATTCCCTTGCAGCCCCATTAAAGCTCCCAAGCTCCCTGCTGCCTACTCTCTGTTCATTGCTGCACCAGGGCGCTTTTCGGGGGGCAAAGGGGTGGAGGCTCAGCCCAGGACAGCAGAAAAGCCTCCGAGGGAGAGCTCCAGAGAACGAGGGCAAAGCAGGCTTGGGCGCTGATGGATGGGCTCTGCCAGAGAGGGAGATACCCTGCCTGTCCCTCACCCCTCACCCCATCACATCTCAACTTCCTGACATGCACCACATCTCACCTTCCTCCATCTTACCCATTCTTCTGCCCGCCTTCACCTCATCCCGACTCCACCCCACCTCCTCTCATCTTATCCCTTCTCAACCTTCACCCGTAACTCCCTGCACTCGCTTTCCCACCTGCAAGCCTGGGCTGGCGGGCGCACTCCTTCTCGCGGGTGGTGCGCGCCCTCTGCTGGTGGGAGGAGGATAGGCCAGGGCTACACCTAATCCTAGGAAGGCTTTGGGCGCCACGTGGTGGAACCTCAGGTAACTAACTCCTCAGAGTTCTCGAGGTTGAGTTCCTTTAGACTTCAGAGAGGAGGGTGAAAAGAGGAACCCTGGCCCTTTAACCCAGATATGGCCTTGGGAAACCCGTGAAGTGGGTCGAGTGGACTATTCTGACCCGGCCCTTTTCTTCACTACCACTCTTTTGAATACTGCTCCCAACTGGCCCTGCCCTGATGCTCTCACCTTTTCCAAAACTTCCCGGCTAAGAAAGCAACCTGAAACTCCTTCCCTTGGATGAAAACAACCTTTCAAGTTGCACCCCGAAGCAAGCCCCTGGCTCTCCCTTCATTCCACCCCCACCCCCACCATATCTCTTCTTGGACCAAAGGTTCCTCCTTGTGGGTGGGAGCATGTCTTGGGCCCCCACAAGCCAGTTGAGAAGATCTCCCTGTATCCTGTAGGAAGGAAGAAGGAATGCAGGTGGAAGACTGGACAGGTAAGGGTGTGGGGTGGGCCTGAGTGCCCTTTCCCAAAGGTGTTCATGAATCACCCAGGTTCACCTAGGGGAGAAGCCTTTATTCGTGTTCACTTTATTTTTCACTATATTTTTTCTATTTTTCATAACACATAGTGTAGAAAATCCATCTGGATGTTTGTAATCCCCGAACTTAGGAGGCTGAGGCAGAATGAGGGGGATGAGCATTCAAGGCCAGTCTGGCCTACATAGCAAGACCATGTCTCAATAACAACAAAACCCTGGAAAATATGCACATAAGGATTCCATTAAATAGTGTTTAGGGGCTGGAGTATAGCTCAAGTGGTAGAGTGCCCGCCTAGCAAGCATGAGGCCCTGAGTTCAAACCCCAGTGCTACCAAAAAAAAAATAGTGTTTAGATGAAGAATGTAAAAAGGTATGGGGTGTGGGGGAATCACCTACAGTCCCATTACACAGAGGGACACAGAGGCCACTAGGGATAACTCTGTCATAAGCTCCTTCTTTTTCTCTATGCATTTTAAAATCAAATGTTACTCTGCTTTGTCACCTAATATCCTGGCATAAACACACGCCATGTCATTGTGTCCCATAGGCCTCATGTGATGGGGAGTGGGTTCATGTCATTCACAGAGTGCATGAGCCAGGGGGAGTCTGGCCTCCTGATGGCTCAGACACTTTCATGGAGAGGTAGAGGGCCTCTTTATAACCCTGTTTACAGAGAAGGGACACACTGGAGGATACAGAGCCAGGACCCAGAAAAATCTGGACTGAATGTAACAAAGTAAAATTTCCTAGCAAAAAGGATGTGAGGCCCTCTTCTTAGATCTTAAATGCAAGCACAGGAGGCCAGAGCACAAGTCTTGGCAAGGCTGGGGCTAGTAGAGCTTATGTGTAAAGTAGTGATGTCTTAGGCAATTCAGGGTGAAATGTAGAAAAGTTCTACAAAAGTTCAATGTGTGATCTGAGGACACATTGATGGAATATAGCACTCAGGATGGAGGAAGGGATTCACCTACTTCTCTAATTTTGCCCCTAAGAATATTGTGCACAATGTTGGACAACATTTTTAGGAGATGAGCAAAGGAGGACACAAGGAAGTGAAGAGGAAGAACTCTGGGAAGCCAACAATAATGCAAGATGTAGTCTGAGAAATCAGTTGGAAAAGGCCATGGGAGCTGCCTTTATTCAAAGAGCCACCGTGGGGGAAGAGGATTTGGATGCATGTGACTAAGGGCAGTGCTGGGATATGCAGTTGGAAAAGAGCCTCTGCCATAGGACATGTCAGGTGAGTTTTCTGTCACCAGGCTGTTCCACAGACCCTTCAGTGAGCAGTTGAGAAGGGAGGTGACAGATGACCTCTCTAACCTTGAGATAAGTCTTGTGAGTGAGTGGGTGAATGAGGGATTTCAGTCTTTGCTGAGCATCTGGAGGAGATGTTAAAGGATGTCTTCACTTATGAAATAACATCCTTACAGCTCACCCACCCTGCTGTTCTTTCCTGCACACATAGCTAGTTTGGGAGGCTAAGACATAAGACTGGGAGCCAGAAAACCTGAATACCAGTCACAGCTTGGCAACTAATTTGCTATGTGATCTTCAGAAAATCACCTCTTTTCTGGGATTTCATTCTAATGTCATTAAAATAATGATACTGAGCTGGGCACCCATGGATCAAGCTGATAATCCTAGATATCAGGAGACAGAGATCAGGAGGATCTCAGTTCAAAACCAGCCCATGCAAATAATTCAAGAGACTCTATCTTGAACATACCCAACACAAAACACGTCTGGTGGAGTGGCTCAAGTGTTAGAGTGCTTGCCGAGCAAGCGTGAGGCCCTGAGTTCAAGCCCCAGAACCACTCATAAAATAATGAGACTGAAGCCAAAATTTGCAAACTCTGTTCACTGGAACCTTGGAGGTCACCTAGATTCTCTCAGTTCCCAAACCAGTAAGGGTTGGAAAACATCTGTCTAAGGTGATCTATAAGGTCTAATCCAGTCTCAGCATCCTGTAGGGGATTTCTGCTTCCCCAGGCTATCTCAGCTCTGGTAACTCCTCTCCTGCTGTGATGTGTCCAAGCCCTGGGTTACTGTGTCCAAACCCTAGGATGACTGCTCCACCCAAGCCCTGAAGAAAACATATTCTTGCAGTACTGGGAGTCGAACCCAGAGTCTCATACATGCCAGGAAAGTACTCTACCACTGTGCTATATCCCTTGTTTCAAGGAGACACACTCTTTTTTTTTTTTTCAGTACTAAGGCTTGAACTCAGGACCTACACCTGGAGCTACTCCACCAGCCCTTTATTGTGAAGGGTTTTTTGAGATAGGGTTTCTGTAATGATTTGCCCTGGCTGATTTTGAACCATAATCCTCCTGATCTCTGCCTCCTGAGTAGCTAGGATTACAGGCTTGAGCCACTGGTGCCCAGCTAAAAACACACCCTTTCCACACCTAACTTCCGGATAATCTAGGCCTGTTCTCACTGGCCCTTACCTCCTTGATCCTTGGTCCTTCAAGGTATTGGTTTCACCATTGCTTCCCTTTTCCAATCCAGGAGCTGGCCTCTCTTGCATTCTGTCAAGTTCTGAGTCTTTCTCTATCACCCCATTCCATCACTGGTAAAAATATGGCTCACTTCCCCATCCTCCACCACAAGCTTGTACTACAGAGTTTACAGAATGCTTTTGCATCCATTGTTTTATTGATTTCCTCAAAGGTTAGGAAGGAAACAAGCCTGGTATCATCTTGGAGAATAAATAAAACAAGGTCCATGATGTGAAATGACTTAGACCAAGTCTCAGGACCTGTGTCATCTGATTCCCCTGCCAGACCATTTCCCACTCCCCTGAGTGACTTCTTCATAGTCACAAGTCACCCTGATCACCTTGTTTTTAGGATCACTCCTGTGCAGGATTATACAGATCCATGTCTCCTCCAGCAATGTGTGCTCTGTGTGCCATCACTTGCAAATGGAATCTGAAGCCCTGATAGCATACAATGTGAGGACTTCCCACATTGCATCTATGGATTGCAGAGCATCCATGCTACCATGGCCCCTGGGCCGGCAGAGCACTGTCTCATACGTTGGCTCATGGGACTATAGATGCACATCCAGATGGGCTGCTGTGATGCTCTTCTCAGAGCCTTCTGCTCTTGCAGCCTTCATCATTCCTCCAATATGTCTTCAAAATGCATCAAACGCACTTTAGCTTGTCACTCAAACGATGTATAATTCATGTCAAGTGGACCCGCTAATAACACAAACAGGCCTAACCATTCATCGAACTGACTCTGTGCCAGGCTCTGCCCACTGCCAATGCTTTGCTGGTAGTGCCTCCTTTGACTGGTCACACCTCGCCAGTTGGGGGTGGTTATTTCTACTTTCAGATGAGGAAACCAAGACTTGGAGACATTAAATGGCTGGTCCAGTCTGTGTCCCCAGAGCTGAAGTCCTCACTATCTCACCACCAGTTCCTCTCACACTGGGCCTTCCTGGATAGCTTCTTCATGCAAATGTGAACTATACCACCGATTGCAGGTGTACACTGCTTGACTATTCAGTCACAGTAGAAGATGATTGGCTATAAGGGACAAATTGACAGCTTGTCTTTAAGTGTCCTTGTTTGG